TGATAACAGTAAGGTCTAGACCTTACTTTGTAAAGTGTCCTGAGATTACTTTTGTTGTGATTTGGTGCTATACAAATATAATTGATTTGATTTGATTTAGGAATTTGTACAGTGCAAGAAAGACGCATATCTGGTAAAAGCAGATGAAATAATTCCCAGTTCTGCATATGGCAGGCTAAATGGCACTTGATCACTGCTTTGCTAGAGTGCTTTTTATTTGTTCAGTTTTCTTCTCTCTGTCTATGTTTTGCCTCATTTTTAAATCATATCTTAAATAATAAGATGAAGTAACCTCCAATCTAATCCTTTTATTTTGTTTTTCTATATAACTGATCAAACTGTGCCACAGTGCTCTTAAGAGGAAATGATAGCAGATCGCATGTGACGGTGGACATGGCTGTCTTGTTATGATGTAAGATAATAGAAACTGCTGTGAGGTTGTACATTTTTCTTTCTTTTCCTCCTATATATGTTTTCATTTTTCTTTCAATTTAAAGCTACAATATGTCAAAGCCTCCTGTGACCCAGACTCATTGGCAGTAGATCAGAGATATTAGCTTCTAAAAGGTTTTGAGCAGGATTGACCTCTCTATTATCTGCATAGCAATGGAAAGAAATGTTTTGTTTTTTGGCAGTGTAATCTAATGGGAGCATATAAATTGAGAGCTGTACAAGGTTGAGTATAGAACTTTTAGGAACTCCACATGGAATGGAAGCTAAGGATGAAAAGGAACTGCCAATTGTAGCACTGAAGGATCTGCCAGATAAATATGAGAAGAATCAGCAGAGACCCCAGCCCACTGTTTTAGCTTGTGAATGATTATATGAATATTCATATATTCTTCAATAATATAATTGTAAAACAGGGTGTTAAAGGATAAGGCCGGTCATTTTTATATTAACAGTCTTTATAACACTCCCCATACATCTCTGTATAACCTACAATGAATTGCTTCTACTCACGATTAATGTACATCAGTATGTCAATGTGATTAAAAATACATCAGTGAAACACACCGCTGCACTGGGCGACATGTTTCTTCATTAGTAAACCCTAGACCTGAGCCTGACAGGCTAGCAGAATGTAAACAAAGCTGAGAGTTCACACAAGATCTCGCAGATGCACAGTTGACTCATACTAACTTCAGGAAACTATGGCTGGTCAGAGACTTTGGGGCAACATAGTCAGGTTTTATAATGAACATACGTGTCACCCAATGCAGCGGTGTGGTTCCCTGGTGTGTTTTTAATTGTTTTTGAACAACAGTGGAGAACTATTGCATGGAGAAACAGATTAATCCAGGACCAATAGCTCACAGACATTAACCATGAGTAGAGGCAATTCATTGTCGGTTTTAGTTTCTGTATGAATATTGCTGAAAATACTATTAATATAGCAAAATGACCAGCCTCATTCTTTAAATTTGGTTGCCAATAAGAAGACACAATTATAAAAAGAAGATACAAGGTAAGAAGTTGACCTGAGCTTCTAGCTGTTGCCTGAGCTTCTTGGCTTTGTTCTGTTTGAAGTAGTCCATTATCATCATTGAAGCGTAGATCTTTCCCACTGTCATGTCTGTATCTGTGAGGACAGAAACATTACATTAACTATTATTGTTTGTCCCTCAGTATTACATTGAGTATTTCCTCCATAGTTAGAGCCAGACCTTTGTTGATAGGTACCAGTAGGTCCAAGTTCTTCTGCGGCAAATAAGGCCAAATGATACTGATCTCTTTCTGTAGTTCAGTATCCAGAGCAACACGGTCCTCTCCACCTGTCACAAACATTAAAGTTCAGTCACTTTGTCAAATAAAATGTTATAGTGATATCACTAAAACTGAAATGATTACCCAGTCGATTCAAATTTGCTGCATTTCTTTCTGTTATATGGTAGTAAACTGACAATTTGTTTTAGTTCTGGACTGGTAGTCAAATTAAATAAGCAATTTGATGATGCCATCTTTGCCTTTAGGAATCTGCTAATGGACAATTTTTTTATAGACCAAAATTTAATAAAACAACAACAACTAATCAGCAGATAAATGATCATGAAAATAACTTTTTTTACATCTTTAACATGCTTGCAACATGCTTGTCAGTGACCCTGACCTCGAGCGATTTTGATGTCCAAAGCTGTGCGGATGAGTGACATCAAAGTGGAGGTGAAGTGTACAGTCATGTCCTCATCCACAGGCATGTTCATCAACACCAACCTCTGAGAGAGACAAGAAACAAAGAGAATGCAAGGCATTCATTCACCTGATACACATCCTATTGTGAATAGAAGCAAGGAGGAGAACAGTCTTACAGTATATCACCAGCCCCCTCCTCAAACAATTAACATGAATATTAAGCATGAACATCACTCTGTAAGTTCATATCATACAATTATTTGGTCTCTTTATACATACATCTAAGAACATTCTGGATTTATCATGATATGATTGCTCATGTTTTCAATACCTTATAGGCGATCTTGGCAGGACACTTTTTGCCCAGGCCCAAGGGTGGTGACATGTGTGTTAACATCTCATACATGGCCGTGTAGTGGATGCGACCACTTCAGAGCAAAAACATAGGTGAAAAGTGAAGGGACGTCAATGAAAGAGTAAAAGAGAAATAGAAGCAGAAAGTGGAGAGGTTAATGAAAAGTAACTAAGATCCAGAACAGATCAAGACAAACAGCAACTTCTAGTTGTAAAATAGGCTGCTTGTTTGGCAATAATGCCTTCTTCTACTTCACATTTGCATGGTAAACCCTATGCATGTGTGCCTTTGGACGTGATGAAAGCCAACTTGTGCTACACATGTGTGCTCATTGCACTGAAGCGTTAAGGTTTTGAACATTTCACGCCCTTTGGCTGCCCTCTGCTGGATAAAGACAGAACATGAGAAATGATCAGGTCTGCTTGGAACAAACCAAATCTGAATACGTAAAAATGCGGCAGTAATAAGTTCAGTTCTCACCATGCCAAACGATCATACTCTCCCCAGATGCGGACAAACTCATCCAGGTGATGGGGACCCAGGATTGAGGAGTCTCGTGTCAGGTACTCAAAGTTATCCATAATTACAGCCACAAACAGGTTTAGCATCTAAAAAAAAAGACATGAAGTAAGATTTAAAGGACAATAGAAAGAGCTGCTGCAGGAAAATTACTGCATTTTATTCGAGTCCTGACCAGGAAGGAGCTGAAGAAAATAAATGAGACGAAGTAACAGTAAGCAAAGTCGGTGCCACAGCCTCCCTCGTGGTCTGGAGACATAGTGAGGGGGGCAATGGAGGGGTCTGGTTCACACTCCTGACCTGATAGACAGGAAAGCATGATCTCCTGCCAGGACTCTCCTGTCGCACTCCTGGTGGTTTAAACATGAACAAACACTTCGCTGACATCAAAAGATTATTGATTTAAATGAAACTGAACATTTGCTTAAGTATTCATCAGGGTACAAGAATATTTTTGATAAGCCCACCTGAACAGAAGCATCAGCGCATAGAAAAATGTCTTAAAATTGTTGTGCTGGTTGATATGACTCTCATCATTCAGCTTGATGTTTCCAAACACCTGCAGAAAAAGCATTACTTCAGTAAAATAATTTTTATTTTTGGTTTATATTATTAAATCCCCATTAGCTTTCACCATAGCAGTTGCTTATCTTGCACATAAAAATGTGCAAATAAAATCACAAGGAAGATGCAAATGAAAAAGCAAAACAAATCAAACAGATAAAACCAAGCTAACTCTAATGCAACCCAATCTAATCAATACCACACATAACCATCAAGAGTCACACTGTTTGCATTAGTAAAGTACTTTTTAATAAGCATATGAACATTTTGATTTTGGCTCAGGGAATAACTATTAGCTTCTTCAAGAAAATGAGCAGACTTCAACTGAGAACCACAGTCAAAGGATACCTGCATTCCAATTATGGCGTATATGAAGAAAAGCATAGCGATGAGAAGACAGACATAAGGAAGAGCCTGTGGGAGAAGAAACAGTAGAATTTGTTATAAAAGGCAAGAATTTCAATTTGTTATATTGCCTGAAAATTACAAGATACTACATTATAAAATGACTGACCTTAAATGACTGTACGAAGGTCCACAGCAAAATACGGATGGTGTAACCCTGTCTCAGCAGCTTGATCAACCTGGCTGTTCGGAAAAGCTTCAGGAAGCTCATGTTGATGGTGTTAACCGACTGCGACAGACGCACAAATGGTTGGAGAGAGGGTGACACAAGAGAGAGAGACAGGATGTGAAACACAGATGGTGGAATTCATCACAACATGACTTAAGTTGTGTCTAGAGGCAGGGATCGTAACACACAAGCAAACTTGGAAAGAAAAAACTGCAGCATTTGAAGCTGGCGATCTGAGTCTTATTTTCAGGGTCACAGCACTGTGAAAATGAATGGTGTCTTGGCAGTGTCTTACCTGTAAATCCACAATTATCTCTGTGATGCTGCCAAGAACAGTGATGAAATCAAAAATATTCCAAGTATCTCGAAAGTAGTTCTGCCGGGAAAGAAAATTTGCTAATAATTTTACTAAGCATAGACAAATTCCAGATTGGTTCATCAAGATGTGATCTGAATCGCTCCTCTCTCTGATTAACCTTCTTGTAATAATACTCACCACAAAACCAAATGCCATAATCTTGAGTATGCACTCCATGGAGAAGAGGACAGTGAAGGCTGTGTTCAGGTGTTTTAGGACTGTATCGTAAGCTGTTGGGGCTGAGTGGTACTGATGGGGAAAAACAGAGAGAAAGCCAGAAGGTTAATGTAAAATTTAAGCACAAAATTTTAAATATCGAAGCCCCCTGTGAGCCAGACTCATTGAACACCACTGGCAGCAGTGCAGAGACATTAACTTCTAAAATGTTTTGAGCAGGATTGTCTTCTCTAACAATCAGATTTTTCTGCTTGTTCAGTAAGTTTTGTTGGATTCTCATTTCTTTTAACTTCATAATGACAAATATCTGAAGAGCTGGGCAGAGCGTGGCAGATCAGAGCAGATTGTAGCAGTGCATAGTGGAGCAGGGAGAGGGAGTGCTGGGCAGAGCAGAGTGGACTGATTTACATTTTCATGCTAGTGCTACCTTAAGTTACAAACTGTACCTTTAAGTACAGATCATAACCACACGCTGAAGAAAATAAATGTACAAAATAGTTACGTCATGTTTTGCTTATCTTTAAGTCAACTGAATCTTTAAGTGAAAGAAAGTTCATTTTACATGTCGACTGCAATTCACAACCTCTAGTGAAAAAATCATATATTCTAGTACTTTTCCACTACTGTTACTTTACCTTCATCATGAGGACCACAGTGTTAAGGGCGATCATAACGAGCACTGTGTACTCAAACGAGGGCGATGCCACAAAGTGCCACAGTCTGTACTGGAACGTTTGTCTGTTCTGGGGCATGTAGCGGGTCATTGGCTTGGCGCTGATGGTAAAGTCGATGCAAGCCCTCTGATGGAGAGAAATTTCACAAAACAGAGAAACAGAACTGAGGATAGTCTTCACTTACATGAATATGTGTGAATCTATCTGCATGTGGTTGTGTCTCTGCATATGATTCACAGGTCCACACCTCGTTCTTCTCCAGACTGCACTCATGAATCATTTTGTCACCTTGCTCCTGGAAGGTGATGATGATCAGAGCCACGAAGATGTTGACAAAGAAGAACGGGAAGACCACAAAGTAGACCACATAAAAAATGGACATTTCCATTCGATTGCCCCGACTCGGCCCCATGTTCTCCTCTGTTACATCAGTGGAGTGCTGCAGGACTCTAGCAGGAAAGAAGACAGTTAAAGCCACTGGTGAAACAAAAAATCAAAAGCAATTTTGGATGCAAAAAACTCTCTGGATGGTTTTACAAGCACACTTACTGAGGCCATCCCTCTCCAGTTGAGACAGTGAAAAGTGTGAGAAGAGCCCAGCAGACATTGTCATAGTGAAACTCGTGTCTCCTCCACTCTCTCCTCTTCACCTCCTTTTTGTCTCTGCTGTAGTCAATGTAATAGCCTCTGTAGGGACCAGAGATGCCCAGAGGTCAGTTTCACTTTATTCACCGATTAAGCCAGACATTTTAGTGAAGAGAAAGAAATTACAGTGTTTGTTACATGTAAACGTTACCCTTCCATCATAGTGCTGACTGGTGAGCCTGAAGTTTTGCATTGTGATTATTCCATAGTTTAAGCATAAGCATAGTTGGGTATGTTACCCCACATATAACAAACATTTTACACTTCAGTTTTTTTTTGTGTTTTGGTATTAATTAAACATGATAGGTGTGTAAATTAGTGAACTTTCAAGGTGCTGCCATATGAATTTTGTTACCTTCAAACATAGCCAGGCTAACTTTTGGCTAGTAACCAATATGTCTATTTAATAATATCAAACTTTTGCTTAAAGCTTCAGGATTTGTCAAAAAACAATTTGCATATTCTGGTTTTATGTTACCTCCCTTTTTCTGATACCAACTTGAGTTTAGCATGGCCATTTACTTTCACTGAGTGACAATGTATTAAGAGGACTTTCTGGTATTTTTTTTCTCCAGACAATAATGTAGGAACAGGCAAACATGGAATCAGAGTGGCTCAGTGTATCCACTTACTGGCATTCTTTCTCTGTATTCATGGAGCTGTCAGTGCAATAGAAGAACTTCCCTTTAAAAAGCTGCACTGCGATGACAGCAAAGATGAACATGAAGAGCTGGTACACAATGAGGATGTTGAAGACGTTCTTCAGAGATGTGACCACACAATCGAAAACAGCCTGCAGGGGAGAATGACAAGAAGGACGGCAAAACAATAATCTGTCAGAGATTTGTGAAATAACACCAAAGATTAAAAAGATGAAGAATGTTTGCAGCTGTTTACATCATACCTTAAGTTTAGGAAGTCTTTTGATGGTTTTAAGAGGCCGCAGAACTCTAAGAACTCGGAGGGATTTTATTGTCTTGATGTCTCGGCCTTTGTTGGTCCTGTTAACATTGAAATACAGCGCTTAGGAACATGGTTGTACATTTAAACAAAACACACAAGAACACATGGCATAGACACATTTAAAACAGTGAAAAAGAAAAACAGTAGACTAAAAGTAAAATGTCAACACAAGTGCATATCAAAAACAAAAACAAAACACAAAACTTCACCTTGAGTGTGTCTCTATGGAGCCCAGCAAGTGTCAAAGGCAACATTTTTGGCAATTTTTATAATTTGTACTCGTGAATTAATTATTAATACACAAAAATGAATAATACATTACCTTGAATTTATAACAAAATCATGAAGTTATTCCTTAAAATATCATGCTTTCAAATTGTGCTACTAGTATTAAATCATTATCGATTAGCAGCTGGGTTTTAGTGTAGAGTGGGTCTCAAAATACTGTAGTTAATCTATTGAAGTTATATTGTCAAATTATAATATTCCTTCTGTGTGTCTTCGGCCTGAACAAAGATACATGGATAAATTTTGGGCTTTGGATGCTAACACGGCATGTCTTATTTCATTTTAAGGAATAATGCCATAATTACTATAAAAACAAAAAGCAAACAGGGCTCACATTAGGTCATTTGAGGGTAAAAATGATTTTTTAGAGGGTAGTAACCATGTATTAATGTGCCCAAATGATCAAAAATGATACCCCTGATGTTGATTGGGCTCTGTAGCTTGGTGAGGTTTAAATGACAAACTAAAAGTCACTGAATATAAAAAGGGAAACATAAAAATAAAAGAAATATATGACAATCTTATGAGAGAACTGTACATTTAGTGTGAATTTTTTTTTACCCCATCACATTCCTGGTAGCACCAATAGTGATACAATCCACAGGAACAACAGAGAAAGAATTGAGGCATAAAGAGAGACACACCGTGAGCAAAGCTCCGAGGATCACAGCTATATTCACAACAGATAAATTAACATACAGTACATCAAAAGGCACAAAAGGTTCAGTTAGTTATCCGTCACATTCACACTGGGAAAGACGACAGAAAAAAACACTTCTGTAGAAGCTTTTAACGTCAGTCATGACATATTCCATCCATGTGTAAACCCACAAATTACAAAGAAATCCACCTTTTCCCCTTTGCGGAAGCACCATGGTGACAATTTAGTCTGTATAGGACCTTGCATGTCTCCATATTTTGTCAATGAAGCAGACTGCATTTTTTTTAAGTTTCAAAATGTGTCTTTGATGGAAGCTTGTTTATAACAATACTGTATGCTCAGAAAATGATTTGCTGCAGTGAGTCAGTCAGTCATTAGTCATCAGCGGGCAGCACTACAAAGTGACTCACGTTAAAGCAAAGGCAATCAGAGCGCCCACCACCACAATAAAGTCCAAGATGTTCCACATGTCTCGGAAATAAGAGCGGTCGTGCAGAATGAGACCCTGGTCTATCATCTAGGAGACAAATGTGCACAAAAACACACGGGGCCATTTTAAATGTTAAATACACACTGGGACCAAAATTACGTAAGCAAATCCAGAGTTAAACTCTTTAAACTGTAATTGCTCTTGTCAAAATGGAGAAGCTTTTTTTTTTTTAGTTACCCACCTTAATGATCATTTCAAAAGTGAACACTCCAGTGAAGACATAATCAAAATAACGGAGGACCTGGATAATGTACAAACATAGAAAATACACGTTTAAAAAATTGTTTTTTGAGTGTACATACTCAACTTTACAACTTTGCATCATTTGCTGCACATACTCACCTCCATACTGATTCTATACCATATATGCTGCATATTAATAGTCATTATACTGTTTTAGTAGTTAGTGTACAAAAGAATCAACACATTTTATTACTGATGTACACAGCATCGGACATCGGCCAAACTGCAACTGTGGAATATGTCTGCCAATTAAACTTTCAAAGAGAACATAAAACATCTTTATTAAGAGTTGAAGTTCTTTGTGAAAGCACTTTCATTAACACCCACTGTTTCTTTCCATTTTTCAAGCTGCAGTAGCTTCTCCATTTCCTTTGTTCACTGTATTTTAGCAGAAAAGTGTCCGTTAACAGCTCACTTAAAAGTCCCCTACAGCTAGTGTGAATTCTGTCTGGTGTGTGTCACTTTTTCATCTCCATAACAAGGTAACATGTAGTTGGCCATCATTAATGCAAACAGAGAAAAAGAAAATCAGTTTTACCTAATTAATCTAACCAGATCATCTACTCCATAAGGGGTGCCTGTATGAAGTTTCTACTGTGTATCAGGAATGTGTCTATAGACTAAAAGAGACAGAAACTTACGGAGCCAGTAATGAAAATGACTTCAGAGTCAAAGAGTAACAGAATCACTAAACCCCCTTTAGAGACATGCACTGGAATCCTGAAATTCTCTAGCTATTACCCTGGGAAGCTGTATGTAAGAACACAAATGCCTGAGTCAGCTGACCCGGACATTAAGCGGACTTTTCTCTGCCAGCTCCCTGGTACAAAGTCCACATAAGGTCTGATTGAGCCAGAATGAGCCCACGTGAGAATAGCATATAGTCCGGAGTATTCACATGGAGCTAGTGGGCATGTTGCTGACGTTCTATCATCACAGGCGTGAAACCAGAAGAACACAAATATCCTATGGTGAAGGAAAACAATCATTTACAATGAAGACAGTAATGAAAATATCAAACTGGAGACATGACGTTGTTCTGGAACCTCTGTCCTTAAGAGCGGCACCAGAATCGTCAGACAAGGCAAGAGACTCGGTTGTTTATGACCAAATTACAAACTGGCTACATCTTGTCCCACCTCCTATGCGCTCTACCCAGGCATGCCTCCCATGCATAAACCAAACAGAATTTCCAGTAGGTGAAAACATATCTGACACAAACTATTATCTGTTGTGTGCTACATGTGTGAAAGGGCAACTCTGGACAAAGTCTAGGCCTGATTCTACGGACACAGAGTGGAGATTTCGGAGCTCATGTGTGAAACAGCTTAAATCACAGATGCCAGTTGACAACATAATGTCCTGCATCCCATGTACCATGGTGATAGTACAGTATATAAAAACACATTGGTCCCATCCAGTCAGAGGCAACAATTATGTTATCTTCCAGTTGGCATGCCTCTTATATCTTAATGGTGCCTCTGCCTCAAAATAAACCTTTATACTGTAGGAATGAGTCAATATGAAGCACAGAATGAATCAGTATGTTTGTATGTAAGCAGTGTCCAGATGTAGCTCTAGGTAACTGGCCTCATTATTGAGCCAAACAGATTTTTTAAACTTGAACAGATGAACCAAGAAATTCTGATTCTTCTCTTTAACTGTGGCTTTCTTAACTCATTCAGCACCCCAAAAATATGTTCTTTTTAGTGTTGTTAGAAATCCTGCATGTGTCTCTCATGTTAGTGTTAGAAATCCTGCATGTGTCTCTCATGTTATGCCCACGGTGCAAATTTAACTAGTGTACACTTATTTGGTTACTCATGACACGTTCCATCATACTGAGTTGTGAAGAACAAGCTACACAGCTACTTCCCAGACAAAACTGATGACTCTCACCGTTTGTGCGTGAGACCGAATGTGTCACGACACAATGTTGCTGACACAGTGTTATGTCAACTTGAGATCAAACCTGAAAGAGCTGCACTGAGCCTTCATCACTGGTATTGTACCATAAATAAGGGCATGTTTTAATCACTTTTATAGTCTGATTGAAATGTTTTGCTTGAGGATAAATGTCAGTAACAGAGTATACATACAGGTTACTTCATATCTGCTGTATTATAACAACAATGAAACTAACTTCAGTGGTAGTTTAATTAGATTACTCTTTAGCAATGTCAGGTCAGCACATCTGTAGGCAACAGGATCACTCTAATCTAAGGGTCAGGTTAGTGTTGTATCTCAGTTGATCAGTTTCAGAAAGTTACAGAAACTGTTAGATATCTCCCCCAACTTCCAGTCAACACTGAAAGATATGGGGGAGAGGGGGTTTCCAAAAATATTCAGCCACCTGACAAGCGGTTCTGATGGATAATACTCTAGTGTTTCACACTGTTGAATAATCAGTTGACACTTCAGACATTTACTGCATCCTTGAGGTGTCAGTATAATTCAAAGTGCATGACGTATGGTTGAGCAGCATGTGAAACTCACTCCTGTCACGCCTGTCTGACAGTTTTTGTTATAGAGGAAATATGCAGAATGTAGCTCATCTCTCAAGCTCTCTTTTTTAAAATCCTCACACAACTACTTCTGTCACTTTTTACATGAAGAAATGAGTGAAACTTTCCAAAAGTATGCTCTGTTGTTCTCATTTGAACAGTTGTCTTTCTTTGTTACAGATGGGTTATCACACCTTGTCCTGCAGAGGTGGTTGACATGCTGTACAAAGCAGTGTGTTTCGAGTTTCCCCTGGCCTTTACAGTTTAACACATCAAACTAATTCATCCTAGAAATTTGATTTTATAAAACAGCATGCATTTTGATCTTACCTTGTTTCTTTCTGAATTGGTACACACAGGATCCTCAGCGGCCAGTGCAATGCTGCTCGCCACGATCACAAGAAGGATGGTCATCTCAAAGTAGCGCATGTTGACCACATAGTGGCAGATCCTTCTGATACTGCAGGTAAATGAAGGGGAGGACATTATTAGTTGATTACAGGGTGCATACAGAGACCTGACAAAAACGAGAGGAAAAAAGCATTGCATTTGGTAATCAGTAACTTCCTCTTACGGGTTTGAGGCCTTGAAGATGAACATGCTGTCTGGAGCAACAGGTTTGGGGGGAACTGGAGGTTCTTCCTCCTCCGTGTCCTCCTCTTTCTCTTTCTGCTCGGACTGGTACGCCTCCAACTCTTTGCTGTTTGCTAAACCCCAGACAGTTGCGAGAATTGAGAGAAAAACTGTTTTAGGTGTACATGGCAGAGAATCATGCGAGTCACCATAACAACTGATTCATCACAAAAGGACAAGTGTGGCACTCTTATCAGATGTCAGAAACACCTACACACAGTGATACAGTGATGCTGACTCTAAATCCCACTTTATATTGCACAGTCAATGAGTGTGACTGGAGTGAGAAGTGAGCACAGTGCTACCTGTCATGGGTGTGAGCTCCAGCAGCGGTTGTGCAGACATTTCGATGGCCACACTTCCCTCCAGGTTGGGCTTCTTACGTTTGATGGAGACCATTCGGCTCTCAGACTCAATGGCACTCACATTATATTCCGTGGCCTCTAAAGCAGGCTCCACTGGGATGTTTTGGCACAAGGGCTCAAACTGGTCTGTGTCCCCGCTTTCACCCTGCTCCGACCAGGCACAGTCCAGCAGCTGCTCACACTGAGGAGGCTCAGCACCAGGCGCAACAACTCTGAAATGGGAAAGACAAGATTAAACCACTGCAGCATGTGGAAAGTGCGGTGCAAAAGATCTATTCATGCTTTTTCTGAAATGTCCCCAGATATTTCCTCCTGACAAAGGATCCTACCTCGTTATCTCTATACACTAATGCTGTGGTTTTATTGATGGCGGTGTACTGTCGATCCACTACTTATGTCCAGACTGATACATCTCAACAATTATTAGATGGATTACCATGAAATTTAGTACAGACATTCATAGCACCCTCAGAATGAACCATAATAACTTCAGTCTTTTCTACCGCCATCATCAGAATCTCTTTATACTTATTTCACATCTCTGTAGTTGTTTTGAACTGTAGAGGCTATGATCCCTGGGGTCATAGCCTCTACAGACTCTGACCTCTCATGCCCAGTAGGTCCGTCCGCTATCATCCATGACTTAGATGATGAATGTGGCAAACATTAAACCTGCTAGACATCACAATGTCAGCATTGTCGCTATAAGCATTAGCATTATTTTTAGCATTCCGCTCAGAGTACTACTTTATAGTCTTATTAGTACAGAAACCCCTCTTTGTCCTACATTTAGTGGTCATGTCACTGAGTTTACCTATACAATCTACTGAAATCAATACAAGAGCTGTACTACAAAATATAAGGATCTTTTTAATTGACTAGTAAATTAAATTATATATTTATTACTGAGGCCATACAGAAATTGCAGGTAGTATCATATAATTCAGCTGAATTACTGCATGTTTGCATGAAAAGTGGGCTGTGGGCTTTGTCCCCTATCTCCTCCATTGGAGCCATAATAGTAACAATGGTAGAAATACACAGTGTTACACCTTTAAAAGACTCTTTAGAAACCAGTTTCCAGGCATTTGAACAGCCTTACCTTCTACAGTCTTCTCCAACCTCTGCATATGGGTTGACGATGCACGTTACACAGTCATCTTCAGTTGACTCTCCTTCTACCTCTGCTTTCTCTCTCTCCTCCTTTTCTTCCTTCTCCTCCCTCTCATCCAGTATCTTTCTATCCTGGCTGAGGGACCTTGTGACTACTGGTACCTCATGCGGTGACTGTGTACAGTCTAGACTCTTGGCCTCGATGCGAGCCTCGCGGTGACGGTGGCGTCTGTGCCGGGCCCCCTCCTCTGGCCCTTGGCTGGGTCGGAACTTACGGGCGATCCTGTGCCTACCACCTGCAGTGCGGTGATTAGCTCCTCCTGTTTTCTCCTCACTTAGGTTTACCAGAGGCTCAGCCACTGGAGGGTCAGGGATGGACATGGACATCGGGGGCTCTGGGAGGGGCATACCCACAGACATGGGTGACTCAGACAGGTGAGCTGGGCTAGCCTCTGGGGTAAGGGCGGGGACATGGTGTGCAATAGTGGGAGTTTCAACGGTGTCCTCTGTAGGGCTGCCAAACAACTCTTCTCTGCTTGCCATCTGGCGGCGTTTGCGTAACTGGTTGGCCCTCTGCTCCCACACTGACATGTTCACTTTTCTCCTCCTCTCGCGGCGGTTGGCAAAGGCATTGGACCTATTGAGAGGCTGCTCATCTGGGACCCCTGTCACACCTTCAGGCTCATCTGGGAAGGTTGGACGACCTCGGTGGATCGCTCGTTTCCTGTACAGGTATGGTCTTCTTCTCCCACTAAGGAGCACAATATACTGGCATCACTATGAGGCAGCAACAGGTCCAATTTTAAGGAATTGTTGACATGAAACATCAAAACAATGATTATTTAGTACAGACGTGATAACAGAATATTAAAACAAAATAAAAGTTGCAAGACTTGCTGTGAATGTTAGGTAATTAGTAACACAAAGGTTTCCTATGGAAAAATGAGGAAAAATACTTGTATGCAAGTACAAATACTGTACATCCAAAAACTCAAAAAAGTAAAAAAGAGAAAAAGATATCTGTGAGGTAACAGATAAAAAAAAAAACAAAAAAAAAAAACAAGAACAAAAAGGGAAGGTGCATAATTAAAAGTTAGTGTAACATCTAGAAAACAATCTCAATAATTGAGAAGGGAAACGCAAGACAGAAATTCTGTGTGACAGGAATGCATACAATAATACTTACTGGTATTCAGATTCTTTTGTTGTTCGTGTAATCAAAGAATGATTATTTGAAAACAAGACATTAGTGTTTTACAACATACAAAGAACATTTTTTGTGACACAGAACAAAATATGTAAACTGGAATAAAAAAAAAGCAGGTCTAGAGGGCTCTAAAACCAGTGCTTTATGTTGATATATGTAAAAATTTAATTTAAAGAGCATGACATTTTATGCCCTTTAACATTATGTTTATATAAAATTCAATCGTCCTTGGTCAAATTGTTTCAAAATGTCACTGAACACAACATTTTGGTCAGTGCCACATAACAGGCATAAAACAAGACAACATGATGGAAGAGTCACAACACTGTGATGCACATAAAAACCAGCATCTTGTAGCTGTAACACACACAAGACAGACATTCAAATATGCCACATACAAATGATACATTCAGTGACACAACTAGAGAATCAAATTAACCGAGTCTATGCAGTTACCTGTCATTAATTGTGCCTACATGACTTCACTGAGTTAGTTCCTACCACACCGGCTAATTAAATCTAGTTTTATGACTGGTGACAAGAGTATAGGTTTGTTTTGTTTCAGTTTTGTTATGCCTGGTATCTTATGGTAGCGAATCAACTTGCAGAGACATAAAACACTTGGAATAAGTAATTTATCACATTTGCTTATACTTTATCTCTTGGTATTACGGTGGGGAGCATGAATTGTTCCAAAAACACATATCTTATATATCTGTTATATTCCCAGTGTGATTCCAGACTGTGATGTGTTGATTGTCACCTGCTATATTATACACTACACAAGCAAAGGAAAAAAAAAAAAAAAAAAATGAATAAAAAGAATCTTTTGAAAGCATCTTTTGTTGGTGCATTCAAGTACTTTTTCCAAAACTTGAGCATCATCTGGAGAAAATTAAATCCCCATATTTCAACCAGTACAACTGTGGTTTGTCTGCTGGGTCTCATTTTAAAACTAAAGCCCAGTGTATAAATGCACCATTACCACATATTTTAATTTTGACAATAAAACTACTGGGATGAATTACTTATCTCAAACAAATTTCAAGGCTCTGCCAGTTGATTTTCATGTTTAACTGACATGAACTACAACCAAAGGCCACCTGGTAAGCCAAAAAAACATAATTCATCTTTATGATTTGGAAAATCTATAATACTTAGCTATGTTAATACCCAGAGTTTGTTGTTAATGTTGTAAAACATGCAAAATCATGAGTACAGTCCTAACTCGACCAAGCTAGAGTATTAAATGAGGCACACGATGTGTCTCTGCAGGACACTTTAGCAATGATTTTTAAAGAAAGCAGTTACTCTGGGTTAATAACATACCTGATGTGTCATGTATTAGTTTCCTTATAACAACTCCATTTTCACAGTGGTGATGCTAAGTAGAGAAATCTGGCTAAAATCTGACACCCTCCAAATTGTGTCTCCTCCCAGTAGAGTGACACACTGAGGCACCCTACTGTTCACAGCTACCTTTGAAAAGCGCCACCTGCCCTCCTCCTCCTGACTTACTGGATCATTAGACATGTGGGACTGCCACCAGGTCACTGAGAGGAGCTGGAATTTCATTAACAAAGGAGGCTGATAACCAATCAGAGGCCAAGCCAGTTACAGAAGGAGATTCAGTGACATTGCTGAAGCAGTCTGTAAGGAGTCATGCTTTTAAATCAAGCACATTCAACACACATTCATTATTGTGTCACCGATGCCTTCAGCATGCCTTTCTTTGCATTCACCATGCAAATGAAGGAACTGTTAAACGTACAACTGGTCCTAGAGTCTACAATCAATGATATTGTGGAAATATTGATCTTGGCTAAGCTCTTATTGATTTTATAGAAAATCCCTCTAAAAACTGAAGTAGCATTAATGATCAAATTCAAGACCACCACCAGTCTTCCCACAACACCCATACAGTATCTTAAGTAAGTCTTAGTCTGATTACACTATATACACACACATCTCCAGCAAATAGAACTGTGATCAATTTTCATTCCAATTCAAATTTTCCATTTGCTCAGGAGAAGAGCTGGTCCGAAAAACCGAATACTAAGATTTACTTAAGGGCTGTGAATGCTCACTTAAAACAGTAATTTTTCTAGCTGTTAACAATCAACCTACTCGGAGATCAAGCCATCTCTGCCTCTGGCATATCTCTGGTTGAAGAACTCCTCTTCCTCTTCTTCATCCTTAGAAAGACCAAAAGAAGACATGATTCTATAACAATCCAGCAATTTCACACATGAAGTTCAGTTTACTTGTTACATAGCTGTGTAATGTCTGTGAAGTTGGGACATTTCAGCCAATGCTTCAATTTGGCAATTCCTTTTAAAAGTCTATTTAAACTTTAGTGCAATGCTAAGTCACTGGAATACCTTTCTTTTAAAATAATATTACAATTTTTGACCCCTAGTAGTAGCAATGTGGGAAACACAATATAATACAAAACAACCTTTGTCAGTTCCTGTGCATTGGCCAGATTATCCACAGCAATGGCCAAGAAGACATTCAGCAGCGTGTCTGTTAAGAAGGCAGTTAAGAAAACACACACATGAACCTGTGGGAATGTATGCAGATATTTACTCCCCCATCCATATTTACTCCAGGTAACATGTTCATTGCAGTTTTACTTTACTAAATGCATCTTGTAGTGTGCTCTGTAGTAGCAGGTTTACACAAGTATACTCTGCACAGATGATATATCACAGCTCTTTGACCACTTTTGAAGAATTGATAAGGATACAGTTTCCAAATAGTGTGAGCACAATGAAGTAGATTGAGGACCACATGCCGTACTGCACACCTCCCTGTGAGCGAATACCATTGTACATCACCTCATTCCAGTCCTCACCAGTCAAAATCTGTAGGCAAATACACAGAAAACTTTGAATAAATAATTACATTGCTGACATTAAATTAAAGAGAACAGACAGGATATGACACAATCCCATTTCCCTTAACTGCATCCATGTTTCCCTCACTTGCATCTTTTTTCCTTGCATCTCAGTCCCACCCATGTAAGATGCAAGGAAAGGAAGAAATATGAGGGCAGAGGAACTGAAGAAACATATCTGTAGAGACATGAGACATTGTTTCTGATAAAAGGAAGTGTTGATTCATAAAAAACTTCCACAAAGGACGTTTCCTTTTATCCTCACTCATGGCTCTTCCTGGCTGCCTCCTCTCTCCTGGATCCTCACTTCTCAGAGCAGAAGTAGGAGCTTTGGGATGTCCTTCAAAATGGTGGACTGGAACAACATCCAGGTCGAGTGAGAATCAAGAAGTAAATAAAGATCAATTAAGGGAATTGGGATGTATTCTGTCTAAAAACCCGTTTAAACAAGATAAGTAACATGTGTTGATCTTTCACAGTGCTGTTAGTGTTGTTAACATGTGCTGATCTTTCACAGTGCTGTTAGTGTTGTAGAAGATCTGATGTGGATTTTTTTCACATTTCACTTGTCTGATATTCATGTCTGCATATGTGTGCATGGATGTGTGGGATGACAGCAGAGGCAGGGGGTGGAGAGCGAGTGAACAGAGTTGTTTAATCTGTGCCTGGGGTGAGAAATATCCCAGGGTGCAATGTGTCATAGAGAGCAGGCAGATTGAGGCGATCTGTGGGAGCCAAACCTGAAACACTGTCATGATAGCAGCTGGAAACGTGTCAAAGTTGGTGGGAGTGTAATCTTCAAAGATGAACCTAGGGGGAAGACAGAATGAAAGCAGGGTCAGATGTGACCAAAGACGGCTAGGATGAGGAAGGAGAGGAGGAGGATGCAGAGCTATTTTCATCTTGACATGTCATTTCCTCTCTGTTTCTTATCAAAGAAGCCACTGAAGAAACTGCTGCTCAGTTCGCAGATTGTAGATGCCATTTCTAAACCGTGGCTTAACCAGATATGTAGATTTATATAGCACGCATATCAGTCCATCATTCAAGAACATCACACAGGTTTGTCTGTAATGACCGAGAAGCTAGGATTATTACATCCACAACTGACTTACCTTCCTCCAAAAAGCTGCATCCCCAGCAGAGCAAATACCACAACGAAGAGGAAGAGAAGAAAAAGCAGGCTGATGATGGACTTCATGGAGCTCATGAGTGACACAACAAGGTTCCTGAGAGAGGTCCAGTATCTGACAGAAAGAAATCACATCTTTTTCACCAGAGATGTGCAAAATATGCCAACTAATGTACTACAGTCCAGGCCTAACCCAGCTAATGTTATGATTTATACAGTATGTGTCCAACTTACTTGGTGATTTTAAAAATTCTGAGGAGTCTCAGCGCCCGCAGTACACTGATCCCAAATGACATGCCCGGCCTGAAAAAGCCCCAAATCACCTCAAAGATGCTGCCAACAATGACCTGGAAAACATGGCAGACACATGCAATAATGTAATAAATTCTTATAAGCTCCACCTTGTTAGCAGAAAACTGGCTAAGCTTTTCTTTTTTTTTTTAATAAATCTTAAATAGATCAGAGTCGATATGTGGGAATTTCAGACACAGTTTTCACTTTCAAATGTTTGTGGTACAGTTGTTGATCCCAACCCTTCACTCTGCCATATTTGGCCAGAAGATTAAAGACACCCAACAACTGAAGAAGACTGTATCACCATCTTATAAATGCTAACTGGAGGATGTAAGGCACAAAGTTCACTACTCAAAGCTCAACTAATATCTTTTAATACATCTGGAAGCCTTTTCTGTTTTTTTTTTTTTCCAGTGTAATATGGAATCAGAATAAGAGATTAAGGACCTCACCCCACAGTCGAAGCAGTTGAAAGATGAATGAAAGTAGAGTCTGAAACCCAGACCATACATTTTCAAAAACATCTCCGCTAAAAACAGCCCCAGGAAAACAAACTCTGCATAGTCTGGAGGTGAGAAAACAAAAAAAGCTATTAAATCAATGAATGATGCAGCAACGTGCCAAAAACAACACATGCATCAGGCAACACCAGATTTATTTTTAAGAAGTATACCATAGAATAATGCAAAAAATGTTTATATACGTAACAGTTAACATGAAACCCACAAAGGAAGATGGTCAGCCAGTCGGGCTGGTTGTGGTGGACAATGGCCACACAGATGGTGTTCAGAGCTACCAGGCTGAGCACCATCAAGTAGAAAGTGTCTGTCTTCACCATGCGGCGGATAGAGATGCGCAACATCCGTTCTTTGCGTCGCAGGTAGGCAGCAGGGCCACGACGGCCACTGCGGAAATTCATCCTTGATCTCGACATGCCTGAGGAGAGAGGAGAGAAAAGGAGGTTGAGGAAGAGGTAGAACAATGGTGAAATATGCAGTATGAAAAGTAACTAAGGAGCCCAAGACATGTGGTATCAAGGACGGAGAAAGAGGCCTGCTGTAAAGCAGTGAGTGATGTTCTTCACTCACTGGCAGTCGACATGTCTGTATACTTGTCGTCCCCCGGCGCTCCTCTCCGAGGACCAGTCTTCTTACTTGCTCTCTTTAGCACTGCAAGATTCCCAAAACTTACCAAATTTATGAATTACTGAATTTCAATAAATTAGAGGACAAAAATAGAAGACTGAAAAAGGTTGCACAGTTTTTAGGCCAAGCTGTTACATTCGTCTGCTTTATCAATGGTAATCAAAGCAATTCATTCACATTGTGACTAACAGCGATTGATTAATATTAAATGCACACCTCCTGATTGGAGAAGCTACATCTTAAGACATTCTTACTTGTTTCTTATCAATGTTTGCACAGAATGTGTGTTTCAGTGCTGCTCATAGTTGGTTTATATATTTGTTATCATATCAAACATTGGGTCCATCCCTGTTAGTAATTTTGCTTGACATGAGTTTGGGATAATACCATCACTCTCTTCAAGTATGTGGCTAACTCAAAGGTTTTGTATGGCCAACTCTGTGGTTGTGCAACATCAAATGTGTATTGTACATCATTCATTTGTACTATGCATATTGAGGCACAGGAAATTTCCCACACACTCGTATTCAAAAGAAAAAGAAGTAGTATTTTCTGTGGGCATCGTATAACCTCTAAAACTGATTATTAGAAATAGTTTTACTGGATACGGGTGTTAGCTGGAGCTGCGATTACAAATCTAAAGTGTATGAACTCACCATCTAAGGCCGATCTCCCTGAATTTTTATTCTCCTCTGCCAGCATTACCTCCTCTGTAGTACAACAAAACTAAAGGTTATTCACAGACTTTTCATCAAAGCACAATTTTAATCATCAGACATGGAAATATACATTTCAGAGATGTATTGTGGGAACTGAGGCCAAAGCAGCTCTGAGGGGCCAGTATGACCTTTTTTAGAGAAAGAGCTCTTATTCTCTCTTACATTCTCACAATATCTCTCTCTTCCCACACTCACCCACATCCATGCACACATAAATATGTACAGCAGCTCTCTCTCTCTCACACACACATGCATGTAAACACATAAATACACACAAGTGTGCATGTGTACACACTGCACATGCACAAATATTTAAGTCAGTGAGTCAGTATCACCTTTTTCTCACCCTCTACTTGCGTGGGAGACTAGCAATGCAGACTGCCATTACAGCACTGTGTATGCATGCATGTGTCCAATTCAGTGCCACCCTGAATTGGGGGGGGTGGGGGGCTAAACCAGCTGAAAAAATTGATCACTTAGGTAATAAATTATTTCTCATCTCCTACCTCTTTATGCCAAATAAATAATAAGTTACATTTGTGCTGATATAAAAAAAAAATGCTAGAGATTTTGCAAATTACATTTATTCCATTTCTTGCCTTTGGAGGAGTAGAGGAGAGGATTAATACCACTCTTCCATTACTAGTCTCACAGACTTTTTTGTCCATAAACAGCAGCATTTCTGATCAAAATATCCCTGAGCCAAGTATATCTTCACTCATTGTATTCCTCTTTGTAGCTGCATACCTCCGTGTGACTAAATAATAATGTGTATCTACAGATGTAAAGCTATTCTGGTATCCAGTACCTGCCCTGTCTATCCAGGCTCGGTACCCGTTCAGTTCTCTTTCCACCTGCTGCTGGCGGCGTAGTTTCATGAAGGCCCGCCGGTTCTCCACCCTCTCCCTCTCCTTGGCAAATTCTCTAAAGAGGAAAACATGAAAACAGCTCTCATAATCCATAATACAGAGAAAAACACCAGTATTATACACACAGGAAGAGCAACGCTCACCCAGACAAGACACCCAGCACCAGGTTCAGGACAAAGAATGAGCCAATGATGATGAGAGGAATGAAGTACATCCAGTTCCATGTGGGACCCAGAGCATCATTAGTCTGAAATGCATAACATTATTATTGCACATGGACAGTAGCAATCAGTGTGACATTTTGTAGTTAATTTGTCAGCTGAATACTTGAGCTCACATTATAGAGAACAGCCGTCCATCCTTCCATAGTGATACACTGGAAAACGGTGAGCACAGCAAACAAGATGTTGTCAAACTGCGTGATGCCGTCGTTGGGCCCGATCCAGGTGTCATTGCAGTCATACTTCTCTGGACACTTCCTCACTCCACATGCAAATGCCAACTCTGATGAGTCAACAGTTTCATTGTCTGCAAAAGTAACGCAAAAGCTTTATGTCCTCAGATATTAGAAACACATCAGTGAGCCAAAACACTATAACCGTCCTCAGACCACTGTCAATGCTGACTGGGGGCACCCCATGAACCTTGCCATTTCAGAGATGCTCTGACCCACAATGGTTTGGCCCGCTGTCAGTCACTTAGGTCTTTACACCTGCCCATTTTCCCCACATCCAAAACACTGAACATGGGAACTAATTGTTCGCCTACTATCTACTACATCCCAGACCTTGACATGTGCCCTAGCTACGAGATAATCAATGTTCTTTACTTCACATGTGAGTGGTCATAATGTTTTGACACAGGCGTATAGTACAAGCTTACTTGATGTATGAGGTACACATTAAAGCCTTGCACCCCAGTCATATCCTGTTTTCTCTGACCATCTGGTATCACAGTATGAATATCAATACCCCAAATGCTCCAGTCTTAAAGGAATAGTTTGACATTTTTGAAAATACTCTAATTTGCTTTCTTGCACAAGCTAAATGAGAGAATCTGCATCTCTAACATCTGTCCACGCAATATGAAACTAGAACTGGCAGCTAGTTAGCTTAGCTTAGCATAAAGACAATGCAAGGGGAAACAGAAAGCCCATTTTTAAGCAGCTCCATTTTGAACTAAACAATATTTGCTTATTCAGGAGTAATTATGACATTTAGAACTTTTTGTATAATGTGTCTAGAGGTGATCTTTAAGCTTTTAATTTTGTAGAACCATTTCAAAAATAAAGGATGGAAGGAAGGAAGTTAGCTGTAAATACTGTGAATGTATTCAGGTTTTATGCCGTAATCCATCTCTGGGTTGTGTTGGACGATGACAGTAAATGCTGTGGTGTGGTGTGTGATTACAGAGTAGCTGTTGACTAATTAAGCAGTAGCTAAATCAGCTGGCAGCAACCCTAATAATACCTCTGAGCTCACTGCTACTGTTCTCAAACAAAGATGTTCACACCCTCTGTTAAAGAACAATGTGTAAATGACACATTTGCTTTACCTGCTGGACAATCAGTCATGGTCGATCATAGATAATCAAAAACAAAGCGTGGCAATATTCTCCTAAATGCATTTGCACTATGATAAAAGCAGGTGCACCCTAGGACAGAAGGCGGCCACAGATGGAGAGGTGGTTAAGCCAAAATTCATCCTTATACACCCAAACTGTTGGATTTCATAAGGCTTTCAGTGAATTACTATATACGTAGGCTGATAATTGTTATAATTTAATCTACCTTCAACAATTGATCGATATGACGTTCCCCTTTTATTTTCATTCTGATAGACTGACACCTACACATTGAAGATTAAAATACATAGGGAGCAATAAATTTGTCTCTCTTCAAATTTGAGTGGGAATTTCTCTTAATTTGATGTCATCTCAAAACAGAATCCAAAGTCTTTCCTCTTGTATAAGTATTTAACTTTCACACTGCTTTAACAAGAAACCAATAAAATAAAAACATATATGGTTACTGGGGGGACTTCTTTGCTTTACGACAGAAACTGATTGTTGGAGGTGTGTGGATCATACCAAGGATGTCGAAAGATGGCAGGCAAGTTTGGTGAAGCTTTCCGCTGTAGAACTCCAAACCAATGATGGCAAACATGAGGATGGCGAAGAACAACAAAAGGCCAATCTGAAGCAGCGGGATCATGGCCTTCATGATGGACTTCAGCACAATCTGCAGGCCTGAAGGTATTTACAGAAAGACATTGCACATAAAAACAACATTGGTATTTTTTAATACAGATTAATGCAAATGAAGAGTCCAACAGTGTATTTGTCAGTGTTATCTGTGTAGCAAGTAGTTGGCCTTATCTCCCAGAGGCTATGGCCTTAAAAAGCAGTTAAGAAACATACTTAAGAAACAAAAATGGGCAGTTGTAAGGACCTACTGTATGTTACTGTATGTTATAGCCAGACAACTGGGTCAGCACATCTCCAAAACAGCAAGGTGCCTGGGGCGCTCCCAGTCAGCAGGGGTGACTACTGACTGTACCGACTGACATTGGTCTGAGGAGGCACAAACCATGAACTGGTGCGTCACTGATGCAAGGCCAACGAAGAATATTCTATCTGGTTCAAACCAACAAAGTAGCTACAAACCAGTCAGAGTGGCCATCCTCATCAATGTATGTACACTCTTTTCAGCATTACATAGTGTATTTTCTAAGTAAAGGCAGAAGTACAGTATGTGTTTAGGTTTTGCTGCAAAGGGGAGTACTTTATAAAAGTACCTATACCTTTATACTAGCAGCTTCTGGCTATGGCAGATACATCAATGTGTTTCAGCTGTTTTATGAGAGAAGAATTACCCTTCTGTTAGTGTTTACATATTTACATGTATACCATAGGCTTAAATTTTAAAGGGCATTGAAACTGTAGATGACATACTACTGGGGAATCCTAATGAAGAAGAGCGATTTAGCACATTTGTGCAACACCAGTTGATCCGGTATTTTTCTGACTGTTTTGGGAACAAGGTTTTCTCATAGATCTCAATCTCTTCATAGATTGCTACAGTATTACATATGAATTTTCAAATAACTTGATTTGTGACCTGAAAAAGTCATAAACGCTACCCACAAAGTAAAAATCGCTTATTTACAGTACTGTATCAATTTGACCTTGCAGTGCAGAATTAGAAGTCATTAGTTGACTCACTGGGGATCCCTGAGACGAGTTTCAGCGGTCTCAGGACTCGCACGGCTCTCAGTGTCCGAAGGTCGACTGGGATGTTCATGTGTGCACCAGCGGTGGCCAGAATCCTGAAGCACAACACGTACAAACATATCTAGAATATGCATATAGTGTAGCTGAAATAATTGTGATGGTAGGAATGATAGACAGTACACTGTTATTGTTTTGTTCAGACAGATACAAATATAATAGCTATTACTTGGAATGGCCTTGAAAGAGAAAATGCAACAGTGACATATAAAAGAGAGAGAGAAAAATCCATTAGTTGCTAAATCTGGCACAACACCCCTCTTTCCTATCTTGAGATTAATGTATCTGGTCCGAGGTGTCTGACAAATTTGATGACAAAAATAGGTAAAAGACAACAAATAGCTCTAACTCCAGAATAGTTTTGGTAATGAGTCGTTCATTTTGAAGGCAAAAAAAAGCAAATAATAAACTGATAACTGACAACTGTACAGCCAGTGAGTGGTACAGTATATCCATTTAGTGTACCAGACTTGTATATGCACAGTCACATACACCTGGCAGGCATATCCACTCACATCTGCCCACGCACATATTGATGCCCCTCCACCTACACAAATGCTGAAAAACAGCATCAGACGCAACCAACAGGCAACATACACCAGAAATTATATCTGAATGTTTTGTGTTATTCTCACTTAAGAAATGTTGTAACAAACTCCACAAAAATTCTGCAACAATCCTGTCATAATAACAGAACATGTCAATTTAGGGTGTGGTTTTTCATCTTAATGCAAGATCAGTCAAGCGTAATTTGATGACCCTTAACCATTAATGCTTTTGCGGATTAGAGGCTATATTTCTGCTGCTAATATCTGAACAAACTTGTGAAAATTATACTAGAAGTCATAATTATTTTCTAGATTTCATCATCTCTCTCCATTTGTTGCACACAGATACAAATATACAAACTCATAAAATCTTTGGACAGTGTTGGGAAGTGTGGGGGAGGTTATGTGTGTGTGTGTGTGTGTGTGTGTGAGTGTGTGTGCAAGGGGCTAGAAAGCACATGGCAGAAACTCAAATGTAAGCCCACGTAGACTCCTGAAAGCAGTGGGAAGGAGAGAGGCCAAGTGAATGAGTGAGGCCATGTTGCCACTAATGTGGATAAACCTGAAAACATTGTGTTGAACATTCTCTGTCCAAAACACCACGAGTGTCCTATAAGTTTATCATCAGTACTGAGCGCTACAACATGCAGGATCTCGTTGTTGCAGTTCATTTGGAACTCACTCTGTTCTCAAATTACCGAAAGTATCGGTGTGTTACAAAAAAAAATTTAATCTAAAAAAGGCCTAGAATTATTGACATTTTTAATTACTACCAGCAAAATATAACAATATTTATAATGACTTAATTAAATGCATGGGACCTAGACCGGAATAAGCAACATCACATGAATGGATAAACTAACCAACTGAAAATGATTCATTAATTTGTATTCCTTTAAGTTTATGCTAAAATCGACACGCTGTTTGTGAGTACACCCTTTGTACCTGTACACTCTAGTCTAATGCAGTAGTAATGCACCACAGCCTGTGTTGGTGTGACATTAAATCAACTTAAAATAAGCTAATAAATATGACAAACAGTAAGTCTTTGTTTCTTTTCTCTTATTTTGTGGCACTAATAAGGATACCAAAATATCGCTAATACCCAAGTGTGGTTATTAGCAGTAATTGGGTTTTATTGAGTGAATGAGTGAGTGAGACAAAGAGATGACACAGTGAAAAACACAGAGACGGGGCGGGAGCAGAGGAGTGGGAGTCTGTGGAAAGTGCCTTCAATCCAAACACAGTGAACAAAGGCAGGCGTCAGTGCAGTTCCTTCAAGGCTGCACTCTGAGCACAACAATTCAGTGGCAGCTCCTTCAAAATTAAAGAAATACTCCGTCTGCTTGTGGTAGCTCTTTTGTTTAGTCTAGAAATTGTTTTCCTGCAGAAAAATTCACTGAAACAATCAGTACTCGTGCACAGCACCATTTTTCAGGCCTTGAGCTTCTCATATTATGTATATATGCTTCCAGTAGTTCACAGCTAGAAACTATTAGATGATTAAAAGAAAATAAATTAGCAACCAATTATCATTTGCTGGTCCTTGCTTCTCAAATACAACAATGTCACTTCTTCGTACCATATATCATAATAAATGAAATAGTTGTCTGTTTTGGGCCGTTGGTCAGATTAAACGTAACACTTGAGACAGGACGAGAGATAATATTAAATACAGTCAAAATATCCTACCTGACGTTAAACAACACAACGTATGTAAAATTCTAAATATGTTATACTAATAAAAGATGGCCACATGACTGTTGGTTAGGTTTGTATAATCATATAGTGTATTTTGTACTCATTCTAAACTAAGTACTAACACTGAGCACATGCATACATACACACTGGCATCCAGTGTGTTTAAAGAACAGAATGCAAACTCTGTATAAATCACTAAAAGGCTTATGCCCAAAGCATATCGCTGGTCTGTTTTTACATAATGAAAAAGTCAGACCCCTTAGATCCTCTGGTGGGAAAAGCTGTTTGCTGTTCCAATAGTGAGAGCAAGAAGCTTAATTTTATTACCACAGTTGTGAAACAAATTACCAGAGTATCTCAGGTGACCACAGCCCTGACCTCCTTTACAATAGAAGCAGGCTTAAAATCCTATTAATGTGGTCTTTTTATCTCTTTTGTTTTCATTTTTATAATCAGAATTGTTTCTCACAGTACAAATATCATTAGAAGAGTGATCAGTAATATAATGAGACAAATCTACATATGAAATAGCCACACATGTGACTTTGATTCAGCTCTGTAACAAGTAAATGCTCACAGTGAGAGGCAAACCTCTTCCTTGTCGGCTCTTTGAGTGAAGCACTGTTGCACAAAATTGTACCAAACTGGCTCTGGAGAGGATGAATTCATTACATGCACAGAATGCAGCCTCTCCCACACACCTCCACCTACACTAAAAACACCACCAAAAACTACAGTAATCAGCAGCATCACGTTGCTCACCATTCCTGTACAGATCTGCATAAGGTTATGTGGAGCTGAATCAACACTGGCTCAATGCATCAAAAAATTGGTGTCTGAATTGAATCTGAAAAACATAAACCAAGCATTTAAAGGCAGGTTCTGTTGAATTGGGATTACACAGAAAATTAGTCACAGAATAAATTGCTGGGTGTATGTTTTCCCAAAGAAAACCCATTTGGGACTGTAAGCTATTGTTTACTCAGTTCAATTATGAGAGCAAAATTAGAGTTGAGACCACTGCAGCTGTCCTTTAATACGCTATGCACAATACACGTGATCTTGACGAGATCTTGACGTTTTCCTCTTAATCCCCAAATTAGATCTGGGGAGCTACTGATGTGGTTAGAAACCCTTCTGGCTGCAATTTGCATTTTCAATTTGACTCAAACTTCTGAATGTACAGATGTGTAGTGGGCCTGGTGCTGACTTGTGGTTTTGCATGCAATCATGTGCCACATACAGGTAGATCAGATGAACCAAGATGCGCAAATAAACGTTAGTCCAGCCATACAGGCACTCTTACATTGAATGCTACAGATTAATGCTGCTTTGGCATGCAAAGACAGAAACACAGGAGTGACTCTTCTCTATGTCTGTCTTTGTGCCAGATGGCTAATGAGTCACTCCCAACTCCCACCCAGTTGTATTATTCATCCAGTTTAAAGAGCAACAATTTTAGCAAAGTGTCACACTTTGCAAGACAGACAGGAGAAACGAGGGGAAGCTCATAACTGATGAAGGCGTTGTCAAAACTAATCTGAGAGCATGAGGTCACCACGTTCGCTGCCAACGCTCTGTACCTGCAGCCTTATAAATGGAGTAACATGCACATGCCGATGCACGAGTCATTTGGTAGATATTTTACTGCTAATCGAAGCATCAAAGTCCAGCTGTGCCAATCAGCTTGCCGCAGGATATAAGTGACCATTTTGGGAATCCCAATGAATTAATCTGGTTTGTGGGTGAGTTGTCCTAGCTGTGGTCCTTTTTGCTACACAATCTTCACTCAGATTAAGGATTTTAATTGAGCTCAGTGTCCCAGCAGATTTGCTTCTAGCAGTTCATTAATATGAAATGGAATGAATGCCGCCAGCACTGGCCCAGTGGCCTCGATTTTATTCCCAACTGGCCTCTATGACACGTGTGTTTTCTTTTAAGTCTAACTTACTTGTACTGTGTGTTAGAGAGAGTTTGCATGTGTTTTTGCGTGTGTGCGCGCGCGCGTGTTTGAGATAGTGTGAGAGGAAAGGAAAGCAGCATATGCGCTACCAGAAAATGTGTCAGATAGGTGGCAGGAAACCAGGCCATCAGTTACCAATTCCAGCTGCGGCTGGGCAAGATGAAAGTGCACGGACAAGTTTATGCTTTTTATACAGTACATGAGCAGCTGTATAAGAACTTAACTGTAACATTTGGAGTGTACAGAAGCTACAGAAAAGCCACATTATATGTTAAAGTGAACAGTCAGTGTCTTGATTGTAGCCCATGCTCTACACACATTTTCAAATTTGCACTAAATGTGCAGAAATTATGGACTGAGATGGCATCCACACCACAGCTCACTAGCTTTCAGCTCTATCGAACACAGCTTGCCCCATCAGACATGGTGCTGACCCCTCTTCTAACATTAAACAGTCATGACTGTATAAGCCACAATAAAAAGTAAAAGTAAAACAAAACAAAACAAAAAAAAACACCAGGAATGATTTTTTTTTTTTTAAAGCATTTCCCCAATCACACTCCTAGGCTGTGGATACGAATTTGCTTGCAGTATAATCAAGCAACCTCAGAACTGTCACCACATGTTGTTTCCAATGTTGTTAACTGCATTTCCCCAAATCTCTGTTATCATTACCACTTACTTTCTATTGGCTCAAAAGGTGGTTGGTAAAAATCTGTAGTTTCCTTCTTTGGGAAACTGCAGTTACTGTAAAGAGTCTGACTGTCACAGGCTGACAGCGAAAAACAACATTCCAACATGCTATTCAAGCAACATATTTACCACGTACATGGATTAGCAACAGGGGTGAGAATTACAATACGCTGCAGCTGTGACTTAGGAAGTAGGTGTCACTATGTGAAGGGTTTACCTACACCCAAATGTCGGTGAAGACTTGGAAAACAGTCTTCCTGACATTCTGCTCTTGGCCAGGCCTGGACACTGTTGTGATTTCCTATCGCTAGTCGAAGGCTTGTGAAGAATGAGCTCATCAAAAACCAGCTCATTCACTTTGTACCTATCAGTGGTTTGTTTAGTTTTGCTAACAAGCCATTTTATTAAGAAGCCAAAAGTAAAATGATTTGTTGGAGAATAATGCCTGTCGTTGCCTAGCGCCAGAGTTTTAGTATTAGATTATTAAAACCAACTGAACATTTCAACCCTGTAAATTCTGTGGAAATATGTCAATAACACAGCTGTTCGGTGTTTAGACTGCCGCTAACTGGTCTGTAAATGTGGTGCTGATGTCCCTTTTATGTAAGAGGCAGAGAAAAAATACTGCAAGATAGAAAGACAGAGAAATCAGAGATGCAGAGAAAAAGAAAGATGTGGGTGTCGGGTTGAAATGAGATGTCAACACGCCAACAGCTTCTTGCCTGAATACTGTACACTTAGCCATAAACAACATTCCCGTGGTAACAATGTTTAACTGCTCCACAATTAATTCACTAACCCCAGACTTATATGGAAAAGATTAATTCTCCTAATGTGATTTTTTTTGGGGCTTCTCACCATTTTCCTTTTCTCTCCCTCTGGTTTCCTTCTTCTCTCTTTCTCTCTACTACCCATCCACTCATTCTATGCTTTTGCATAACATCTCCAGTGCTGCATTCACATTTAATTCACAGAGGTCCTGGGGGCGAACCGAAACAGGTTTTAGACACAACTGCCAATCCACTTATCCACCCACCCAATGCTGACTGCAGAGCTTGGCTGTGCCATGGAAACACATATTTTCCTGCATGTATGTGTTGCGAATCCTGTGGATGTACTGTATGTAGTGTGTAAATGTATTTGCTTGTAAAGAAAAAAATCACATCATCATCTCAACAATAAAGACCAGCTCACAGGGTGAACCATGTGGCAATAATGTCAAACATGAAGTACAGCATGTGAGGATTAGAAGAAGCCTTTAAACTGCTGCGTGGGCATGCATGCCAAAATATTGATGATGAATGATGACACAAGTAGAGTCACATGCATGAATGCACCAACATCACTTGACAATCTGAAATTAGTGAGTCTGGAATTAATCTTTTGGTTCACCAGCCACAGTTGGGTAAACTAAAAATGAATTCTGTCAGAATTAATTGCAGAATCAGTTGCTGAGCATTAATTTCAAACTTCTTTTTTTGTGACTCTCATACAATCAGTGAAGTTTGTAATTCATGATGGAGTTCAACCACATTCAAAATTAAAGCAGCAGCTGGGGACATACCTACAAATACACACACATGCACATACCTACCAAACCCACTTGGTTAGACTTTGGTATTTTAATATTAAAAGGCTATTTGTTGACCTTCAACTGGAATCAAATATGAGATAATCACTCCTGTTAATATAATGAATTTGTTGGCAAACATATTGTACCGGCTCTTAATATTTGGTTATTTATCCACTATTTTTTCAGGTTAGTTGCTAATTGTGTCTGTCTGCTGTTGGTTGCTAAGTAGATAATGGGTTTTTAGAGCTTTTTCCACAGAAAACACCTGTTTCTATGCAGATAGGAGCAGCGAGAGTAAAACAAAACAAAAAAGTTGTGACAGCTAAACAATGAGCTGAATCTCACTTTAAATCTCTGGAGCTGCAGATTCAGGTGATAATTCTCTGGAGGTTCATCACTACAGGCGCTTACACGCTGTCACATTGTTTTCACATTGTCATTTGATACACTGTTATTATAAAAAATATACATTAATTACAGGCGCTTTAACTACAGGTGCTGCCAAACACTTAGAACATCCACAATTCATAACACCTTCGGTAGTAACAGCAAAGGGACACTTTAGTTCCCATTTAACACAAGTCTAATGGGCTTTTTCACAGCAGATGTTTTTGCCATAATACACAGTAAAAAGAGAAGCACGGGTGTAATTAATAATGTTAATGATAGCTGCATTCAGTTCAGGTGGTTCTAGGGTCCTTGTGCCATGTATGCTGCCTCACTGTCATGGATTACATAGACACTGAATGGAACTGGGCCATCATTAATGGTATTAGCCAAGGTTTTTTTTGAATTTATTGTGCTTATGCTTTGTATTTTCTAGCTATGAATGCTTTAAAGAAGACGTCCTAAGGATCCTGACAGACCAAAAAAACTGAAGGAAAGCTAAGTGCAGCTGCTCTGATTTGACTGGGTCACAGTCAGACCAAATAAAAATTGAAACATGACCTTGAAACCTGCAAAATCATACAATTTAAAATTTTTTATGAGTTTGATATACCAAATGATAACTCAGTTTATTAAGAAAGTGATTGACAGATTAATCAGAAAGGAAATAATAAAAGTAGCATCAAATAAAAATACTTAATAATTCACTGTACCTAAGTACAGTAATTGAGCACATGTTACTTTCCACTGCTACAGAAAACTGATATACTATATGTTCCTCCTTCAACAACAACAACAACAGATTTCACCACCAGTGAGAAGAAGTTCAAGGAATCTGTTCACATCATTTAAAACAAGCAATTCTCACTTTGTTGCAACTCTGATTTTTCAGGACACCAGCTGTTGTACTCACCCACTGAGAACAACTATGAAGTCCATGACATTCCAGCCGTTCCTCAGGTAGGAGCCTTTATGGAAAACAAAACCGAGGGCCACCAACTTGATTCCCGCCTCAAAACAGAAGATCCCAATAAAATACGGCTCCGTCTTCTCCTGTGGACAGTAAAGAACAGGGACAGGTCAGCAGAAGTCTGCAGGAAAGAGGATTTGAGCTGATTAATAAAGTAATAGTCACAAACCAGTCATAATGTTAAATCTATGACCAACAGGGTGTGGTTTGTGTACACAACAAGTCCTGTAGCTGCACACAGCCTGATGTATAACAGAACACACATCATTATAACTTATATACACACATTTTCAATATTTTAGAGGTAAACACTGACTGAAGAACAACTCAGATTAATTATTTTAAAGAAATAATACCATAATGGAAAACATACTCCATTATTTATCATATACAATATGTGACTGGAATATTATTATTGATTCATTTATGTGTACATGAAAGAATCAATTTGTTGTTATCAAGGTAGAGCTAGTTTAACACCATATACTGTTTTTAATATAAAATTACCTAAATAAAACATATGTTTTGCATGTAAAGTTTAACAATAGCAGCTACTAACTGAGACTGTAAAATAAATGTAGTGGAGAAAAAAGTACAATAACTCCCGCTACATGAAGTGGAGCAGAAGTCTAGAATGTCATACAATGACAATACTCACGTACAGGTACAATTATGTGAAAACTATACTTAAGTACTGGAGTAAATGTAATTAGTTACAGTACTTTCCACCACTGCAGGTAAATTTGTATGTGGTATTCATCCTCATGTTGTCAAAACCTATGCTGTAGTAGAGTGTAAGCTGTTTTACCTTAAACAGACATTTCTTTCTCATTCTTTTCCCTTTACTGTATCTAACACCTTATTAAAACCCACGGCTGTGAATGGATCATTACATGCCAGTAGCAAAGTATGCACCCTTAACTGAAACAGAGGTTTCCTTGTGGGAATACTGAACATTTTCCACTCTTGACATTTGTGATTTCTGTAGTTTATGCCACAAAAAACAACTTCTTATTATGATCTTCTCATAAACTCTCAAATGACTCTGGTTAGTTTTCACCCCCTGTGTGTGCACATTGCACCGACACACTGCTAAAGAAAACCTCTGTGTGCAGAGGATGTGAAAACAGATTTTATCCTCACCAATCTCTTGGCCATGGGGGTCTTATCCTCTCCTGGGAGGTGCTGCTCCAAGGCCAGGACGACGCAGTTGGCAGTGATGGTGGCAAGGATCATGTACTCGAATGGTGTAAAGGCCGCAAAGTTAAGGAGAGTAGTTTTATCACAACACAAGTATAAAAACGGCACATAAAAGCAAACAAATGAGAAGTAGCAATCAGAAAAACATCTAAAGCTAGAGAAAGATCCATATTGTAGCACTGCAGCTCATATTCCATCATTATGTGGAGGTCAGCATAAGAAGAATACAACAATATACTGTACATTATTATCCAAATAAGTGTTAAGTGCTCATACTGAGTTGAACAAGCTTTAAATGTTCAAATCACTAACAGCAGTAACTGTTCAGTGGGAAAGGGGAAAAAACAGAGATGATGGATGATTAAATGACAGACGAATTATGGCATGGCTCATATTCTCTGGTACTGGAAGAAATCTGTTAGAAAGATTTCTGTATCCATGGCAACCTGCTTTTAAAAGTGCTTTCATGAAGTGAGAAGGAGGCAGGTTAGGGAGAGAAGGAGAGCGCTCTGAAGTCACCTTGGCCTGACTGGTCTGACCATTCAAACTACAGCAAACAGTTCTCATAACTCCTCCGGCTGTCCATAGCTTCTAATTACTCTTCAGTGGTAAGGATTTGCTGTTGCTTATTTAATAATTTATTTAATATTATATATATTTGGGGTGTTAGAGAAATTCACAAGTATGCCAAACCAGTTTTTTTCAAAGATGCACTCCTGTGTAAACATGAAATATGTTACATTTCTCACAAGAAAGTTGATGCAGCCAAGTCTTAATGTCAATTGTTTTTCTAGAAACTCTCACGTTGTTTCCACACATCGTTTCTCAGGATATGGAATAAGGTGTGATATAACTAACGTCATGGTTTGTCAAGCGGAAACATGTGTATGTGTGTGCGCACGGATGAGCCCTACAGGTGTGAACCACCTTGTACTGTATGCACTATACATGCCATAACACTTTCATGTGCTTGTGACTATCAGTCCTTCTCATGAGGCAGCTTGTTATTAGCTCTGCTGCCTGGACTGAAACGGGGTCACTGACTCACAGAGGAGCACTGAGATGGGGCCTCTGGGACCCCTACAGACACACACTGACGGGTTCACACTGCTGTCAATGAGAGTGATTGAAAGTAGCTAAAGTGAGAATTATTAATATAAATCTTGGCCTTCTCCGTTTCTACCTGGTAATATAATGTGTTTTTCCACTCAGTCACCAACTTACATTTGTTTCAATGCATTATGAAAATCAATTTACTGATTCTTGAGTTATGGAATAGATGTTACAGGGTGGCCTTAAAATCTGAAACTGTGCAGCTTACATTTAGAACTTGCCAGCACTGGTGTAAACTGTACACTAAAACTGCAACTAACAATTCAGAATTTTACTATCAATTAATAATTTAATCCATAAAATATCAAGAAATAGCAAAAATGTTCCCCACATTCCGAGGTGGTGTCTTCAGGTATCTCGTTTATCAGAACAACCCCAAACATGTTTTTACAATGATACAAAAAAAAGTAGCAAAAAGTTGCTAATACATTCCATCAACTAATTATTAAACAGACTTAATTAACTGCAGCATTAACTTATAGGTACACTGGTATGACCCTGTAACTTAACTAAGGTACAGAAATTTGGGCTACACTGGACAACAGAAGCCCCAGTAATTAAGTTAACTCGGATTGAGGATTAACTCCCCAATGTGCTGGTGCAGCATCATACAGTACAAAGAAACACCACTGCTTTGAATTCATATGAGCCTGTTTTTCCACTTGGGATCTCAAAACTTGGACGCTATGTGCAAAAATCTGGGTCTCACCCAGTCAGTATTCTGACATGTGCTGCTTTTACAGCCCACAATCCACCACCGTACTACTGGCCAGCTCTCACCCACATACCTCTGCCTCTGTGATACCAACAATCACGTTACCATGCTGCCAGTGGCCAGCTAGTCTTGACCACTAGCCCCACTCCCACACATCCACAGAGCCTGTGGTTAGGTAACAGTGCGAGACTGACACGTTGCACTGAAGGGGGTGTAAGACTGGAGCAGCAGTGGGTAGATATAGCAACAGTGATGTCCTTGAACTGATTATGCTACCAAAATATTTTTATATGTATATCATTTTTCAAGAAATCATGTAAAATATGTATTAGGTAAATAAATAAACTCAGGTAAACAAGTAGCACTGAATAATCCTTATGTCTGACTGGTAATTAATGAATGTGATGAATGTGACTGCACTGGATGTTCACATTCAGTGAATTTGCTCTGAAAAATAACTTCCCTGATAATCTTTTTTTGGTCTACAAAAGTTCGGGAGAAATTAACAGTTGGAGCTGGAGAAGTGCTGCCTGGTGGATTTGAACTGACACCTACTCATGGCCAGGTTCATATTCCAATGAGCACTAAGGCAGCAGAGATGTGCCTACATGCCACCCCCACAGTGCAGAGCTGCTTCTAATGATCACCACATACTAACTTTCCATCCTCTGCCAGCACTGAAGCACATGGAGTGTGCAGATGAATCAAATCAGGGCAAGTTACTTAGCCAAATTATGAAGCGGTTGAATTCAGCTATGCAGAGGAATTTTCTGCCGATTTAAGTAACAGCTGCAGATTTTGCAGATAAGCAAAGTGAACAAAGAGGATGCAAACCAGCTGCACACAGAATGACAATGAAAAGCAATACAGGTCATGCAAAACATAACTTCAGTACTACCACTGCATTTCAGACACTGCTCGTTAACTTGCACTTTTGGCACTTTTTGCACATAACATTCAGGAGTAATTTGTGTTTTTTAAGCTGTTAACATGCTACCTGCCGCTGTCCATGGTGCTGAACTACCAGCCAAGTGCCAACATAACTAATGTTTTTTATGGAAGGATATGGCCATTCAATGATTCTCCTGGCATATTTCCTAATGATGTTATCCTCTGCAAATATGAACAGCGACCTGTTGACGGTGAGGCAGTTCTGCTGGTGGGGGACGGGGTTGTACAGAGCCATGGTCCGAGCCCTCTGCGCCTTGGCTTGTTTCATGGAAGCAGTCAGTGCTGCCGACGCCGCATCCTGCCCGTCTCCGCCGCGCTCCAGGTCTCCATCCCTGGAGTCCACCTTGCTGGGAGCACACTCGTCCCCAAACCGAGCCATTCTACAAAAAGATGAGGAGACTGCCTGCTTAAACTGTTTAACTACAGGACGACTTATAATAAAAAGAACTGTGAAGTGGAGCTAAACCAAAAATGATCCACCTTCAATCCACTGACAGCTTTTCGAGCGCCAAGATTCCCCGAAAAGTTGCAGATTCCTATTACTCCATATCCACAATAAAAAAGGGCTTATATCATTCAGTTGGCTTATATTTTAGGACCAAGCATCCATGTATTTAACGAGGATTCAGGTGCACAAGCTGCAAATACTCAGCATGTTTGTTATCCCATCTGCTTAACAGCGCGTTACAATCAGCTCGCAACAACTTTTAATGGATGCGCGTATCTAAACTCGGAGAAGAACCAAGATCCACGGAGTTTTTACCTTGCAATACCCTATTAACATCCAAACTCGTTTTGATCTGACAAACCGGGAGCTACGTGATCATACACTACTCTACCCTCATCAGCTGGTGAGATCCGGAGGATATCGTCGCAAACTTTACGCATCTTTTCCACACGTTAAACTTGAAAAAAGGAAGATCTCACGTTAAAGCAAGTAGGTTTAACGCGTCTAAACCAAATTCTTTATAAAACCGCACGGACTTCTTCTGTAATCGTTCGAAAATGTACCAAGAGAGGCGCTTGATTTGCTAGATCAGACCTATCTTACAATCTTAACACCTGCTGGAGAATGATCACGCAGCCAGGAGCGCATAAGCTCCGGCAGCCCCCTCCCACAGTTACATTTCATGATGGCGATTTCAAACTGCATCTGAATGAAAGCTGATGAAGAGAAGGGATATATATTGTTACCACAGAAATTAGAATTTGTTTAAAATGAACAAAACCCTTTTCCTGAAAAAAAGAGCCTATATGCAGTAGGCTGTGTGGGTATGTGGTTCAAAAGCCAATTATGTAAAGATGTTTGTGGGTGCTGCGGGAAGAGACAGGGGTGTGAAAACACATTTAACACTAATACTAGAAGCAGTGACAATGCACAGAAAAAGGCAACACATGTGTGGGTAAGACAAACAAGTGAAAGAGCTCATATAGAACAAACTACCTATATAGAGAAGCTATGAGCTTGACACATTTCCCCCATTTAAATGAATTCACTATTTGACAGACAGTTTTGTCATTTTTCCTTAATGGAGACAGACTTGTACTGCTAAAACATTTACAAACTAGGCCATTGTGCTAATATTGGAGTAAATGTCAGGAGTAAAAATAGAGCATGAAATAGATCGTAGGGCTGCTCTCTTTTGAGGGAGAGGAAAAGAAAGCAGGGTCTTTTACACGCTCACTGCCATAAGTGAGACCTCATTCGGCAACTGGGCTCTGTCGCTCCATCTGCTGCTCTCCTCCCCTTCCCACTGTTTTCCTGAAGATGACCACTTCAGCCCCCACAGACATGAGATTACTCAGCCAGGGCTTGGTTCAGCCCTGAAGCTGCTGTTTGTCACTATAATCAACTGCAGGTCCGCATGATATTTTGACACACACTACCACCACCGAGATGCTGAAGTGACAGACTATAAGCTACACAATGCAGGTATCACAGTGTGCAGATGGGCAGCGAGCAAGGGCTCAGACGAGAGATTGTGAAAGCAAGCTGAAAGAGTGACAAATTTATGCTTGGCAAACAAGTTGAGATCTGGGGGAGACAAAAAAAAAAATCGATTTAACAGGATCTATGAATAAGTATCTAACTGAGCTCCAGAAATTCAGCCATGGCTCTGATCCCTCCTCTTCCTAATCTGCATGAAGCAGGCGGGTGTGTCACTTCATGCAAAGCAGTGGAGCAAAAAAGGCTATGCTGACCTATTGAATGGGGAATATAAAAATAGCGTGAGGAGAATCATCAGCATTACGTACAGTTTGCTGATTGATGTTAAAAGTGCACTGTATGTTAATATATTTCACATCCATCTCTACTTTCACCTAAAAATGTCTTACATAAGAACTCATTACCAAAAAAACCCTTCACTTGTATACTGCCCAACAAAAATATTTGTCCTTCTCTGCAAATACCTCTCTCTCTGTGTCTGTGTGTGTGTGTGTGTGTGTGTGTGTGTGTCTGGCTCTCTCTTTGCTGTTGTTTCCATAGCGACATAGCTCTCTTGAATTCCTGCTCCGTTCTTTTCATTTCTGCCAACAAAAGCCATGTTGCACAATAGAGCAACCTCTTCCTACAGAAATCAGTTTCTCCCAACACACACAGACACACACAGCCCTCTGCTCCACTGGGGTCACCGGACATCTTCACAGAGGAAACTGACAGACTACTGTACAGCACCGTTGCTACACTGGTGATCCACTGTACTATACAGATGACCAGATGTACTCTTTTGTTCTGCTTTTGCTCACAACCTACTCAAAGGTGTCTGAAAATAGCTGTGTAAACTGTTAGCAGAATAGCTCACATCATACTGCCTGGGCCTAACAAACCCTGAATGAGCTAAGCTTGAGCAGAAAGGGTCGTTTTTAGCTGAGCAGGGTGTGCAAGAGAATGGTTTTTATAAAAAAACAGATGTGAGATGGGGAGCACAGTAGCCTGGGGTGCACTTTTATGTCCACGGTCCAGCTAAAAACATCTTTAGAAATGTAGTATAAATACTGTAGATGAAACGAGGCCGCAGGTGACACGCACCGTGAGTTAAACATTAATGGGCATACTTTCTGCCAGAACTCTGAAGAGCATTTATATAATTGCAGACAGGCTTTCACCCAACATTGCCTGAAGTGGTTTTAGCATTTTATTTTTCTCTCTGTTCCTTAGCAACAGATTCCACCAATAACTGCCACTTATATTACTGCGTGCCAGTTTACCTTGAAACATATTTACATCACTGTTTTGGTTTCACAGTAAATCTGCATGTTATCAGCAAATAGCTCAGTATATCCAGTATCTGTAGATGAACCTCAAAGAAAAGTTTCGTGTGAGAAAAAAAAAACAAACTTGTCCACACTGAGATATCAGTTATGCAGAATTGTCATATTACATTGATTTTTCTTAACCTTCAACCCTACAGCCTAATAATTAACATTTATATTTTAATAATATTATTTTTTTTATTTGTTTTTAGCTTTGCCAACAATAGATCAACTCTACTGCTTAGCACCAAAGGGATCATATGCTACCCTGCTGCTCTCTACTTTGATTCCCTAGCATCCCCTAATGGACAAATCACCACAGTACATGTAGATGTACAGTAGTGCTCTTATTATAGGCTGTAGTTGCTCATTCTGGAAAGAAATTACATTAAAAATAAAAGAATGTGCTAACGTCTTTGATTAGTTTGAGGAAAAAGACAGAAAGCAAGAGAAAGAGTGACAGTACACCTGAAAATGGATGTGGAGTGGGTGGTGGAGGAACAGTACAGTAAAGAGGAATCAGAGGTTGGAGGAAGGAGGAGGATTGGTGGCTTGTTGGTGGGTTGGGGGTTACACTGATGGCGCACTACTCAACATTCAAGTGCTGGCAAGCAAACAAAAAAATCATTAACTCATCCAGTAGGCCTTAAGCAACATTAACATTCAACTGAAGTCATGTTTGTGTCCACCTGAAGAATGAACATCCAGTATTCATACTCTTTTAGGTTTGTTTTGATCTCCAACTCCTGAGGAAAATATCAGGCTCTTATCTGCTAAATGTGCTGCTGTGTTCCCCACCTTGTTGCTAACTTTGTCTGTCTGCAGTTTGTTTCTGGACAGGTAGTGTGCAGACATGTTTACCCTGCTGGTCTGCACAGCCACAGACCAGTCAGTCGCAGTGAGAGCACAGCTGGTCATAATGTTTTGGCTGACTGGTGTACAAGTCTTTTCATCAGAGACCTTTTGACACATCAGGAAATCCACAGGAATAATAGACATCAATGACCGTATTCCATTTCCAGATCAGCAGCCTTGTTATTCATATTTGCTCACTTGCATGGTTTACTTTGACATCTGTGCACACTAATCTTTACGCCTGTGTTTTCCTATGAAAAGGAGAGTCTGCTATGAAAAAGATCTGAAATATTTAAATTAGATGTACCTTTGTAAGGATAAAGTCAATACAATACAATAAAGTTACATCTTTGCTCATCAATTTCTCAAGATTTTAATTGAATTTAGCAGGTTTTATATGTTTGTAAGCTTTCAGACCAATGGACCCACAAAAGAGGTTTAGTGGGTTGAAAAGTTCTACTGTAAGGCTATATGCAGTCTAATTATGTATGTGTGTTCTTTTAACCTGGCACTTTCACACTTCTCCATGGAGATTTATCATCTTTGCACTTACAATTTAAAAGGAATCCTTTGCCTCTCATTCTCTTTTATACTTACTCCCACTCCTTCCTGCGGGCCTGTGGCGTGCTCTGGATTTTATGAGCCTGGTGAGCCATGATGATGTCCTTCTGTTCCACAAGCCCCCCACGCCGCCGCAGCATGCAGTGGGAGCTCAGAGACCCTGAACCCTGATCCGAGCCATCCTCTTGACCACAAGGCACATCAAAGCTGGCTGCTCGAGGAGGCAGCCCCAAGTACTCAGGGAGGGCATCGGGGACCTGTAGAGAGCAGGAGCGAGCTCCTGAAGCAAGGCTGTGACGGGCAGCAGGGCTGGGCTTCCTCCAGGCCTCAGGCTCAGGAAGGGACAGGGAAGACTGGACATGTGTCTCTCCTCTTGAAGAGTGGGGATTGGGTGAGAGGAAAAGGGACTGGTCTGAACTGGTGAGCATCTCTACAGAGATCAGTAGCCGGTGGTTTCACCATAATGCTACAAATGAGTAAAAAAAAAAGGTAGACAGGTAGGAAAATTAGGAGTGAAACACAGAAAGGCACTGAGACGGTGACCATGGTGAGCATTATACCTGCAAAGCATCAGCATGATAGCATTGTCACTGTGAGCTTGTTAGCATGCATTAACATTTAACTCAAAGCACCACTGTAAGTAGGCTTCACAGAGGTGCTAGTATACTCTTGGTCTTGTTTTCTCTATAAAACAAACTACAGTGGGGTTTCCCCTCACCTAGATGAACTGTTGTATCATTTAGAAACTTGAACGGGGTTAACCTTACATTTTATCATTGCTAAAATCCAAATTTGTTAAAGGGTGGCTATAAAATGTGGATGAGAAACATGGGGAAGATACTGTATACTGACAGTTCCTGAAAAAACTTTAATACCAGTAGTGCATGATGGGGTGAACAAAAGCCATGCAAAAATAGGACCAGTAATAATACTGGTGGGCGGAATAAGACTTTGTACAGAAAGCGGCCTAGTCAAAGCAATGAGGAGACAGTTGAGGAGGCAACATTATATCCTAATTCAGCCTTAATTCAATCACAGGTTTGTGTCCAGATCCTAGATGCAACATAAGACCAGTAAACTTTTATCCTGTTGTTGCTGCCATTGTCCAGTTAAGCATGTGTGTATTACTGAGACAAAGAAATATAGGGCAGATGAGGTGACAAGGGTGGAAAACAGCAAGTTTAAGGCGAGCCGGTCAGAGACAGACGAAACAAGGCTGTTTTCACTGAGCCGGAGCTGAATGGAAGATGACTGAGTGTGGGAGAAGTGAAGCAAAGGCACAGTGACTCACTCATAGGCAGCAGGGCTCCTCAGACATATACTGGACACAGTCTGAGCTGAGCTCTGCCCTCAAATGCAACGTGGCATCCATCTGAAAGCCAGGAGAGGCTACAAGGTCAGCGCACACATTTACACGGGTGGCTTGATGCTGCTGACGGGTGGGCCGCCTGTGATGTTAGCACAGCCATGCAAGTTCAAAAGATTTGTGATACCATGTATTATCAGTCAGTTGTGCAACCAGAGTCATGGGGAAATAAAATGTCAAGGCACTTGTATCAATGGACACGCCTTGAAAAAGCAGCAGGAGCATGGTGGATCCATCATAACTGGGTTACTTATTCAAACCAAAATAAAAGCGACCATGAATGGCAGCATTGATTAGGTTGTTTTATAGATAAGAACATCAAAAAACCTATTGCCATGTGCCTACAGACAGCTGCTGCTGCAGAAAGCATGTATAATTCCTTAAGGTTAAAACGCTTGTGTGGAGACGCGCTCCTATTTTAAATTCAGATTTCTCCTGTCTATAGCTCCTGGCTGCGATCGCCTTCGCTTTAATTAGTGCAATCACTGTAGACCTGCTGGAACAACAGGCGACCCCCTCCCCTCCCGTCTAGTTTGTGCTCGTCAGCTGCAGAAATACATTAACTACCCCATTAGCAGGTGCTGCTAATTAGGGGGCTGTTTCTTTATTCTCCTGGAGTAAAGTGTTTGACGTGCAAGCAGGTGAAGCAACATGGAGCAGCAGGCGTAACAAGTAGAAACATTAGAATAAGGTGCTAAAAAAATGTTCACTGGAAGAAAAGGAACAATGCAGCACTCGAGACAAAGAAACAAAGAGTCAGTCAATTAATGAAATGATTAATGAATATGACAGTTTTACCTCGAGGTGACTCGCGCTCCTTCATCGTCAGAGACCTGATCAGGTGAATCCTAAATTCAGCCCTCTCACTCAGTCCAAGTTTAGTGGTTTGTAGCTGATTTCGCGAGGATTCCTTGAGTGATGATTACCGCTGTATGGGTATAAATACTGCAGGGTGGCAGGGAGCCAGAGGAGTGTAGTTCCGATGAACGTAAACAGGCGTGGGGACAGGAGCGAGGCATAGAAAAGAAATAATCCCAACCATCTTCACTAGCAGGCTGCGGTAATGAGTCACTTTGTGGTCACAATGAATGGCTGGCTTTAAACTTCATTCCTAGAGTTCATTACAAATGTGCACTGTTCTTCAGTGGCGAGGAGCTATTTGCCTGTACAAAGATCAAATGAGATGAAAGAGATCCAGCAAGTGCAACAGGTCTGCAGGCGGTTGTTCACTGAAACGGTGGTATACTTGAACTCTGATGTATTTACCACTAGATGGTAGACTAAAGCCATATAGTGGAGAAGGATGGGCATCAAAAGTAGTTAAGGCACTGGCAGAGTGAACAGTGTGTGTTGTAAAGAAGCTTACCTTCCCTTCATCCTCATATTACTTCAAATACTATTAGCTTACTTTTTACTACAGGTTTCATCTAAGGTGTATTTTAAGGGCACCTTTTTGTGTACCAGCAGGGCCGGCCCAAACTCTTTTGGGGACCAACACATTTTGTATACCCCCCCAAACCCTCAATATAAGCAGGATAAATAAGCAGTGGTAAAATAAGTATTCATATCATTTGTTTAATATAAAGAAGCTATAATCAATATGTTTATAACAATGACAATGTAAAAGAGACAACATGAAAGGGGTCATGTAGATTCAGTTGTCAGCTGAATCTACAGCTCCCCTCAGTTTTACAGTTTCATAGAGATTGTATAGATGTCATATTTTTACTGTTTTTGTTCACTCTCAACACTCAAGTATGTTTTGTAGCTGTTTTCGGGTGAAGTCCACTGTACACTGCTTGTCAAGCCGCTACAGCAGATGTGCAGTTAGCAACTAGAGAGTGGATCGTTTAGGGGTAGAGACCAAAAACAGAGCTAAAACTTGCACTTGCCTGTTGCTGGATGTGTAAATAAGCAACTTTGCCAAAAGGTGATATGTCAATATTTTGTTGACAACTTGGCTCCTTTTCTTCAATCTGGCTAAAAATCAGCAATACCACAGGGTAAGTAAAGGGCTTTTAAATTAGGGCTTTTACTTGTAAAATTTAGCTAATTTCTAATTGTTATATAAGACAAAGTACAGAAATATTTTGAAAAAAATTTATTTAAAACTATTTCAAAAGAAACTGATCCTTATCACCTTCATGAAGGTAAAATTGTATGATTGTTGTATTATGTAGTGCACTAGTTTTAGCTAGGTGTATCTAATAAACTACTGTGTTTTACCTAGATTCAGTGAATAAGGTCGAGGATCATGCACATTTAGATGTTCATTTGATAAAACCCAGCACTTTTGGGGAAGAAAAATTTAACTTGATCAATGTTAGATAATACTGAAACTCAAATGAAATACAGTGATACTTATTTTTGTAAGAAAAAAGTCTCAACTTATTCCAGCACTGAAGAGAAATGTTTGATTTAGAAAAGTAATTTAAAATTTGTTGAAAATCATACAGTGTATAACAGTAAGACATTTTAAAACCCTTTTCAGGCAAATGTGTGTCCTGTGTCTGAAATAAAGGACAGGCTGCGTTTACTGTGATCAAAACAAAGTCCTTATGGTCCTTGTAGTTAATTAAAAGGTCAGCCATGTTCATTTTAACCAATCCTGTTTTTCCCTGAGCTGAGGAAGTGCTACTAGCAGTGGGACTGAGAGCAGTGCAGAAACCATCTGCTGCCACCAGCGCTGAAGGGTAAATGAAGACTTCAAATCCACACATGTGGCACGTTCACATTCAAACTATATTTCTGTGTCTAAATCCATTAATTTATGTCCTGGGAAAACGTTTCATATTGTCTTAATCAACTGATGTGTTTTGCAGTGATGAAGCCTAGATACCAATGACTAGAGGAAGTGTTCAAATATCTTTGAACTACTCTGTAGCTGTTGTTGTTATACGGGTCTCATTGGATTTTGTGATAAAGACCACTAAGTACCACATTGTGTGAATTAAATATGGATTTCAGTATTTTTACAATGTGGTATTAATACAGATAAGTATGAATGCTAGCTCTAGTTTGAGCCATTTGTACTGTACAAGCTAAACACTAAGTGAGCAGAACAGAAAGTGAAAATATTCCTGCTCATGTATTCTGTAATTTAAAAAATATTTTTAGTGTCCGTATGAGCTGTGAACACTTGGCATTTATTGTGCATCTGAGTTTCATTCTACCAAAGTGTGAAGTTATATTTTGATAATTCAGAGAGATGTCTTCAGTGGCTCTCACTTTTTGATCATGACTCCTTAAAATTAAAACAACTCCTAGTTGACTGTTAAACAGTTCAACCAAAGACTTTGCCTGTCTGGGTTGTTTCCGCTGATTTAAGGTGCAAAGACATTCAAGAAAAATACAAAAATTTCTGAATTATTTTAAAAAATGTGATGGGCAGAAAATATGTTTTCCTATGTAATAATACCATCTCATAACCAAGCTTCAGACAGTGATTGCACAATACTTATATCGCTATACAAGTATAGCCTTTGTTATGTTTTACAGTGTGTGTATTAGCTAAAAATAGAATTGTACAGAATAGTACAACATTGCAAATTGTGGAAAAAAAAATTTTTTTAATTTTTGGTTTGAAACGGAGATCTTAATCAAAGCGCTCACATCTAAATTCATTTTAAATTTAGCTAATTTTCTGAAATGTCAAGGAACCAAAAAGGGTGTTTTAATCATCAAGAGTCAATTTATTTTCATATTCTAAAATGCAAAGGACATAACAGGATTTGAGAATAAATCCAAGGTTGAGTGCACAAAAATGTTCCACTGCAAGCGATTATGTACAAGAATGAAATCAACAAATCTTTACAGAATTCAACAGGTACTGCATCGATATTTAGAGTCGGCTCTTTGAACCTAATAATGTAGATTAGACTGGACTGAATTCATTTGTACCCAAGAAATTTTCACATCACATCACAATCGTTAGTTTACATTTCAGTGAACTTCATTTGCGGAATTAAAAATTCACCTTTAGTGCATTAAGGACCACTTTATGCTTTTTATTTTTCATACATTAGAGATTAAAATGCTATGTGACCTCATAAACAGGCCCGTTAACATCAACTTGTAAAAAAGAACAACCCAAATGAACATCTTCTACATCTGTTCACCCATACACGCCACCCTGGCTAAAAATTGCAATTTGATTGTACCATCATTGTATAATTAATGTCAACATTAGTGTGACATAAGAACTTTAAGAACCAATAGTAAATCCTTAAATTGTTTCGCTTGCAACATGAAGAATAGTTGCCACAAACATTTGGCTTTTTTTTTCTGTCAAGCAGATAACCTGTAAGTAAATCTCTGTCCAACAAGTTTTACAGAAACATTAGCCTGGTAAGATAACGAGTTAAAAATTAGGGCTGGGTGATATGGACACATCCTTATAAAGATCATTGTGTAACTTTGTCTTTTTACAAAATCCTCCTTTGTCCACAGTTTTGTAAAGTATATTTGGACCCAGTATACTTGCTCACAGGTGTAGTTACAATGTATTTTTATTCATACCATGTTCGTTGCTGTTAGGAAATGTTTTCTGGAAATGTTGTCATTTTAGACACATATACTGTAACGTTCATTTTCAGAGAAAGACAACAAAATGTTTGCATAATGATCCAACCATGTGATGCAGCGGGGTAGGTGCACAATCCAGCCAGAGTAAAATGACAATTATGTAACATGAGCAATGAAGAATATTTATACACTTTGATCATCACAGTTAATGTAACTCACCCAGCCCTAGTTTAACTTAACACCATGATAATTTGAGACTGATCACCATTTCTCCCAGTGTCAGTCTGTGAAACAACACTGCATTTTGCTGGAATTATGACTCTACTGAATACAAGATACAATGGATTTGAAAGCTATAATTCAGTTCAACACTATGCGTGCTATAGAAGAGAAGCCAAAAACACTTATCAGTTTAAATAAAATCAAATAACACGGATGAGCTTAAATAAATGAGTTACACAAGTCTTGTTTTCCTTTTTTTTTCTTTCCAAACATTCAGTAGGGAATAACGAAAGTGCTCTGGTCAAACCTGTAAAAAAATAATTTATACACACCCCCACAAAATTGTCACAAAATTGTTGTTGACAATTGTTGTGTTTTATCGATGGTCCTCCCCACAATCACACTGCTGCTCCTTGGTCTTGCCGCGCATTGGTTGGATTAGTTGTCATTTGTTAAAGGGAAGGCAGGCAGGCAGTATGACGGTGGAACAGGCTGGGCCCGCTAAAGGCTCTGCCACCTCTCCCTCCAACTCTGTCCATGTTCCTTTCTCAGGGCTGTAGCAGATGGTAGAAGACTTATAGGCCCCCTGAGGAAAAACCAAGATCAAGTCATTCTCAGTCACCCTCATAGTGCTGTTTAGATTTCTAACTGAAAAAAGGATGGATTCATAAAAAACATCAGGGATGTGCTAAAAGGAAAAGTGGTGAATTTCTATATTTGTCACAAAAATTACATGAAAATAACAAACTAGAATTACTGCTTTGCGGTTGTATGTCTCTCCAACCAGTCAAATTCACAAGAATGGCACTGACGTGAGGGCAGTGACCTTGACCTTTAACCACCAAACTCTAATCACTTCATCTTTCAGTACAAGCAAATATTTGTGAAGAAATTCCATCAGGGAGTTCCTGTCACATTGCATTCATTGTAAGGTCACAGTGTCCTTCACCTCTGACCTTTGACCATTAAAATCTAATCAGTTCATCCTTGAAGCCAAATGGACACTTGGGCCAAGTTACAAGAGATTCATGAGATATCATATTCACAAGAATGGGACAAATGTGATGTTAATGTGACCTTGACCTTTGACCTCTCGCCACCAAAATCTAATCATCAGTTCATCATTGAGTCCAAGTAGACACTTGTGCCATATTTGAAGAAATTCCTCAAGCTTTTCCTGACATATTGTGTTCACAAGAATGGGCTGGTCGGCCGGACAGCCCAGGGACACTGTCTCTGGCCGCGGCTACCACCGGCACAGAGGCATGAAAGTGAAATATTTGAAATAAGAAGTAATGGCTGATATCTTATTCCTCTGTGCCGTAAACCTTCATTGTCGACGCCTATTAAAAACATATGAATGAGCCACACTGTTGCACAGGATTACAAGTTCCTTCATTATGATGAACACTAATTTATTTTGAGTCACACACCACCTTGCTGCTGAAAAGTAAATACTTGCTGGTGCACCATATGTGTATTAATCTGCTGTTGAAAATAGTCCCCAACAAATCCACTATTTATTCCTGTTTGGGTAACATTTGCCAGAAATGAAAGTGCCCAGGTGTGTAAGAAAATTAATGAGTTTTTTTAAAAAGCATAAAATTATATATTCATGACCAGTGCCACAGACAAGGTTGGGAAGTCGTAAAATACTGAGATGTCTCTAACTAAAACATTATGTTTAACTGTGCACTAGTACCCTGGCTATTGGAATATCCCTGATGTGCATGTAAACATCCTGGTTTCAGAAACTTAAGAGTACCCTGATAGTAACCAGGATACTGCAGCATACTGTAAACACCTTATACTAGTGTCTAAACATTCTCTGTTGGTACAAAACAAAGTAGCTAAAATGGTGGGAAATTAAGATAGCTACAGGTAGATGATAAGAAATATGTTATGATATGAATGAGTAGGTTTCATGATCCACTGAATGCCACTGAAAAAGTATAACTCTAACTGTGCCTATAACCACAGTTCTTACTGGTTTTGTGTCATGATTCTTGTAATGTCTCCTCCAGACACTAGAGGTCCCCAGACTTTTCCCCTCTTCACAATCACCTGATTCTGGCCTGCTCGCATGTTTCCCATTCCCAAATCTTTATACAGTACTGGACCACTGCCCTTAACTCCTCACCAGATTGTCTATCATGCTTACCCAGTCATAGTTTTATGACTATTTTCGAAATATGTCAGTTTTGAATATTTTTGCCCATTTTCGAAATATGTCAGTTTTGAATATTCTGCTTAGTTTTTTGGACTCTGCCTTTGTTGGTTCCCCTTTTGGTCTTTTGCCTCTGCTCATACTGTTAATCTGTTTTCTGACTTCTACTTGTTTGGACTTTGCTTCCTGTTTTCCATGCCTAGTTTCACCTGCCTGAACTGGCCTTTTTTTTCCTGTCTTTTCTTTCTTTCTGCATCTGCCAGCTTGCGTTTGTCTGCATTTGGGTCCAATCTCTTTGCTATTTCTCATTCAAAGCATGTCAAAAATATACAATAACACAAGTCTCATTCTTTGGTATAAAATAATCTAAAAGAAAATTCTGTACCATGCTCCAGCTATAGCCCCCCACGAGGAAGATGCTGTCATCCAGAACAGCGCAGCCTGGGCCACTGCGACCCTCCAGGATGGGTGTCTGCAGGATGTTCCACTGGTCAGCTTTTGGGTCATAACACTCAACCAACATTACGTCTAGGTGGGAGAAGCCTGTGAAAGGAGGAGTATAGCTCTTTTAAAAACATGCAGGAAACAAGTGGTGTTACTGTGAGTTCAGTTTAATATGAAGCTTAATCAACTTCAAAGGCCCCGGAAACACATATTTGCCATCGGTCTCTTACTCTGAGCAATGTTTCAGTTATTTCTGTGTGCACTCTTTTTACTAGTTTTGAAAAAAGCAGGATTCCACTGGTAAAAGGTGAGGCCATATATTTGTGTGCACCAGTCAGGATTTAGCAACACTCATATCAAAATTTAAATATGGTTGTGGGATTGTTTGCTTATGTTGCTGGGTCTCTGTAAATAAAATTAGCAGATATTTTAAGTGTTAATGCTCTTAACAAATGTAAGGATTTCTTTTTTTTTTGCAAAACTTTGACTCGTGATTGTTGCATAAGTAGTTGTGAATATTTTAAAAATACAGTACAGCAGAATATTGCATCACATATATATGGTAGGGTTGTCGTTCTAGGTGCAGTTTGGTGCAGTTTGATTAACTTTGAACCTACAGTACCTGCTCAGTTAAAATAGTGATGTACCATCGTTTCCATTTGTCTTTGAATGTGGCTACAGTTGAGACAGATCTTGGCACATTTTTGGAAGGTTTTCATGAACTCAAATTAAAACTGTGGCAGGAAAAATCCAATTAGAGTTTGAAAATTGTACACCATCTAAACATGCATCTACCAGCCTCTTAAATTAGTACTGAAAAACTGCATTTTCACAGAAACACATAAGTGTTCAATTCGGCTTTTCATAAATCCCATTCAAATGTCAGCATTCAGGTTTGCTGATAAAACACAAATGCACAACACATAACTGTACTTCACTTGTTTGTTCAGTTTTTTTTTCATTTTGTACCTTGAATGGTGAAGTGTGAAAGACAAGGGGCACTACACGTTGCACGGTGTAATGAAGGTCATCGCCTGCTCATAATGGCAGAATCTCTTTCACACCATTTTGACCCACTTTCTGTCCATTTGCTAAAATGCTCCAGTACTTGCCTTTCAAATGGTTTCCACCAATAGCATATAGGCGGTCATTCATTCCAGCCAGGACATGAATGGCACGTTTTGTGTTCATATCCTGTTTCCTAGCCCACACATCCATTATAGGGTCATAACAGTAGAGCCAGGACACATACTCGCCATTGTGCACTCCTCCTGCAACAGGTAAACACAACATTATGCCTTTGATACTGTAATGAAATACAAACAGTAGGTAGATGCTCATGTTCTCTGTAGGGGAAATGACTCGTCTGTGTAAACGAATCAATGTTAATTTTTATTTTAAAATTAACTGATTTATTACTGAATCTACTGTAATAAATACCAGGGATTCCATGTACAAACTGTCTTCTTACTAATTGCAGTGGGTCACAATGAATGGTGCCTTCTCCAACCTGCTCTATTCAAGCACAAGGTTGGTGCTTTTATTCCTTTCTTTTAGTTTCACATTGTAATGACTGGCGTGGTGCATAATACAGTGCAACTATTAGTGATCATCTACCTGTATTTTTGGTTTATTACTGCCATTTTAGAAAAGAGAGGCCAAAAACAAATCTGTTATACAGGAGGGTGATTAATGAACAAACTGTAAGGAGGCTTAAGGAGGACTTAAGGGGGAAGGACTGGGAAGCGGTTTACAGAGAGGAAGACTTAGACAAAGCATATGAACAATTTTTAAATATATTTAAGGACGTATATGAAAGGAACTGCCCTCGTAAGCAGTATAAAAACAAAAGGAATTACAGTGGGAAACCGTGGATAAGTAAGGGATTACAGAATGCATGTAAAAAGAAGAATGTGTTATATAAGGAATTCATAAAGGACAGATCAAAGAAGACGGAAGTAAAATATAAGGCGTACAAGAACAAATTAATTGAGATTCTGAGGAGATGTAAGAAACAATATTATTCTAAAGTATTAGAGGATAATAAAAATAACATGAGAGGTACTTGGAATATATTAAATAAATTGATTAGAAATAGTCCCAGCAAGAGTAACTACCCCCAATATTTTATGGATAATGACACACCGGTCAATAGATTGGAGGATGCAGTAGATAAGTTTAATAGGTTCTTTGTGAATGTTGGTCCTA